GGAGAATTTTCGAAATTTGAAGAACGCAAATCCAAGAAGTTGAATTTCAGCGGAACGGCTTAAAGTCAAAAAGTTTCGGGATCTTAGCCCTTGACTTCAAACGCACGAGGCCCAATCCTCAAACGATGGCAAAACGTGGAAAATTTTCGAAATTTGAGAACGCATATCGCTTACATCTTTGCCGTGCTTAGTTTCTTATTTTGGGGAGGTGGGGCATCCTAGTGGGAGGGATGTTATCGGACGCTCCAAGCTAGTATATAATGTCGGCACCACGTGCTACAGGTGCTAAGAGCACAACACGACACCAGTTACAGGTCTAGCACAAAGATGGGCAGTTTCGAGATCTTAATTACCGAGCGATTTTCGATGGAGTATCATGTAATAAAAAGGAGAGTCGTAGGATAAATAGGCGTATCTCTAGTACTTGTTGGCTCTGAAAACGCACGGCTTTATTAAGTACTTAGGTGGTCGTAATGATTTCGAAAAAAAAACTTTGATATCAATATCAAGCGGCTACGAATCTAGTAGCGCTGTGACTTCAGGAGGGGCGGCCAAGCGCTCGGGACGAACACCGGATGTAAAGTACTAGAAGGGCAGCGAGGCACTGGAGGTATGTTTGATAGTGGTCATGCGGGGACAGGTGACATTGAAACTGCTTACTAGAGGAACAGGAGGAGCACTCGACTAGAACCCTAGTGGTGCTGGCTAGGAAAGCATGCTCCTCCTTCGCGTAGTTGCTAGCTACAACGACTACGAACGAATATAAAATCTTCAACCCTGTTGAACTCATGAGTATCTCCTATGTGTATGATGTGTCTTCTTGGCGATCGCGATGTAGACCGGAGGCTGCTTCTAGTACCATTCGGAACTCCAATTTCGCTTGCCTCCCTTACCCCCGTGCTCCCAATTTTTTCCTGTCCCTTTGCTACCTGTCTTGCCCCCCTCGTACTCGCCACCTCGTAGATGGAGTCATGATTCTTCACACGTAGAAAAAAGTTGAAATTGAGAGGTCTCAATCTAAAAGCGTGTCGTGGCGTCAAACATTAGATGCAATCAACATCAACAAGAGGATCATCATGATTAGCCTAAGTGAATATATTTATAACATTCTGTACCTTTCCCGCCCTTATCACCGCCCTTAGGGGATGCTTTGCCAGCATCTTTGCCATTTTTTCCGTCCTTGCTGTATCCGTAGCCCCCGTAGTCTTTTCCACCTTTGCTACCGCCATAGTCCTTGCTCCCTTTCGAATCCTTGCCATCCTTGCGCCCGCTTCCATTCCCCTTACCACCTTTTCCGGTCTCATCACCAGCACCCTCCTCGCCGCCTGCAGCACCTGAAATAGAAGAAAATATATCTACTTCCCTCCTGATAGAAGTGATATTCCGCCAACAATAGAGAAGCACCTAGCCTCCGACGACCACACTCATTGCCGAGTAAATGCAAAGGGACAACAACCTCGGCTGCTCGTTGACCTTGTATAGGTGCACTACAACCACATTCAAATGTACTGCCTTCTCTAGAAGTACCGCTCGCCGAAGTCTCGCCATCGGTTGGCTGTTCGCCATCCTTGCTGCCCTTCGACTTGCCCTTGGATTTTCCCTTAGGTTTACCACCACTCCAGTCGTCGTTTTGCCTGGATCAAAATAGGTCAGAGTCATGAAGATCTTTTTTGATATTCATTTATCTTTGCCTTTAGATTTCAAATTCAACAAGAATTTAATTCGTGTTCATCATCTTCATGTAAAAGTAGACTGCATACCAGTCATTGCCACTCCAATTTCTTTGATAGCCTTTGCCCTTGTTGCCTTTCTTAGAGCGACTGTCATCGCCTTCCCATTTCCAACCACCGGAAGGATAACTTGGCGTTGATCCTTTCCCACCATATCCATAGCCATTCCAATCACCTACACCTATGTGAGTCGGTATTATTTGAATGTGGAGGAAATCATACAGCAAGATCTCTGGATCTAATTCTAGCTTTTATCCCTAGATCTTGATCTTCTAAAAATACTACTAATACTCATAGTTCTTCGTCTTTCTTAAAAGAACAAGTTGAAGTTATTGTATATTAAATAATATCGCCCGCGTTCTTCTACTAGCGAAGTTGATTAACAAAAAATCTTCTGTATCAGTATCTATACCTTTATATCCTCCCTTGGGATACGGATAGCCGCCGCTTTCACTTGGGGATGATGCTGGCGCACTTCCGGGTGAATGGTTATTCTGATCAGCCCAATATGTTTCAGTAATTTCCTGTAAAAACTGAGGTCCGTCCGCCTGTCGCGCGTCCTGCGTCACCCATCCTGACGTTCCACTCTCGATAGATTTAATCTGTTTGTTGTTGTATTTGTCTTAATTTGCAACTGCACGAGGACGACATTAGGATTGATGTATGTTCTGGACCGTGCAATGATGACGAAAAGGGGCATGAGGATGATCATGATTAACAGAAACACCGGAACCTCGTTCACAAGATAATCTTGTCAAGATTTAGAATCGAGAATAAGTCAAAGCAAGTACCTTGATTCTAACGATTCCGTCAGCGATAACAATGGGCTCGCCTAAAAGCTCGACGATTTCCAAACGCTGCAAGCAACCTACTTGGTCGGAATCCAAGTTCATTCCCTTCCGCACAATCACCATTTCAAAGTGTTCTGAACGCAAAACCTGTCGTCGGAGTGTTGTCGTTGGAAGTCAACTCAGACCACATGAGAATAAGCTAAGATAAGCACAAACATCAACTCGTAGGTCAAAAAAAGATGAAGTAGATAAAAATATCATCTTCAACTTGTAGTTGAGAACAACAACAACATAAGTACAAGAAGTCAGCAGAGTAACAAGAGGAACATAAGTACATGAACAACATCAACATGAACATTCTAAAATGGAAAAGAACAAGAAGTTATTAAATTATGAAAAAAATCAAGCTCAGTAGAAGTGCAAGTAGTACCTGAAACATGCGTAGTCTATCGTTTTCGCCAGCTTTTACTTTTGCAGCATACTTCGTGTTACTTGGCATCCACTTTGTGTCCTTAACAGGTTGAATCTTCGTATTTGTTCCTGGCAAGACTTCAAATTTGTGTACTGCCTTGATCAGCAATTTTCCATCCTCTGTTTCGTGAAAGGAATACCTGGCTTTAGTTTCATCAATGAAGGCTTCTCGTCTACTTTCGGAGGTATAAGGTCATGAGCTGCCAGAGTGAAGTAGAAGACCAACAAAAAAGTGCAAATACAGGTTAACGCTATAGCAGAGCAATTTACAAGGTTTCACAGCTCGCATGGCGGGGAGTGCATGGATCACATGCAGAAGCATGGAGCTAAAGGGGGAGCTTCTTGCGCCCCTTAAAGCTCTGCGCTCCATGCGCTCCATGCTACTCCATGCACCATGCGTGCTATAAACTACTCTGTTATAAGTAGGCTTTCGATTTCCAATGGGTGCTCGCGTCCTGCGTAACAAACTTATCAAAAAACGAACTAAACATTACCTTGTTTTTTTGGCATTGCTTTCCTTTAACAGTTTGACAAACTCGTTGTAGGATGATATCCCGCAACACCTGCGGCAGATTGGCAATAGGTCTATCACTTCAACCTGCTTGTCCTCGTCCATTACTACGTTCGGAATAACTTCCCCGTCTGCGCCGTGTCGCAAAACATAGGACACGATTTTTGATACCTATCAGTGTGCGGATAGAAGTTTGCTTTTCTTTGGAATTGATGACGATGGATAGCGTCTTCTTTTTTTCATTTTGTGTGTAGTTATCAATCTTCTACCTAATATTGAAAATTTTCCAAGTAGAAGCTGCGGATCACTCTAGTCGTCTATGCAACAAAACTAAACTAAAAGGAAAAATACCTGTTTCAGCAGGTCGTCGGTTTCTCTGAACTTCACCTTTTTTATCCAGTCTAAGTCACCCTCTACGACGTCAGAGGAGTCGAGGTGAACACGGTTAGCTACCGTGCTTGGTAGCTGCACCCAGTCGACGGCGCGTTCGCTCATCATCTTGTCCTCGTAGTTCTCTACTACTTTTTAAAGAAGATGTTGTAGTCGAAGAAGAGGAAGGTGGACTTCTTGTTTGCTTTGGTGCTTCTTCTGGTTTATAGATGTCTTGTTCACTTCCAAGCTTCTTTGGAAGACAAAAAACTTGACGATAAAGGAAGACACTCGTCGGACAGCCTATAGATGTACAACGTTGTCTATGCCGCCTAGATCTCCTTGATTTGTTTGCTCACTACGAACTCGCGTTGGGGAAAGTGGCCGTGGTCTATTTTTTTTTTGTGCTTAATCCCTCCAGTAGACAAGTGAAGTTGCTACCTCTTCTCGAGAAGGATGAGGTTGAAGCGCAGCAGCTATGATATTTCTTCCATCTTTACCTCGTCTACTAGATCATCAACATGATAGGATGACGATGGTGACACTTTGTTTCTCATCAAGAAACTGCCACATCGGGTTGACTTCGCGAGCACCTCCTAGGACAGCGCTCGCGCAACTCGGGCACGATGTCGATGACCTCGCAGTATCATCTTCCTCTATGTATTCTCGTTGCCAAGAAGAAAGCGAGCAAGACCCTTGAAAATAATCTCTCCGATCTCTTCAATCTGCTCAGAAGTCGTCTGACGATGAAAAGTCTATTCCTCAATCTGTTCAGAGGTGGAAGTCGTCGGACAAGGAGTTTTTTAGAGTGCTGGAGGACTGCTACTCGTGTTTCTATCACAATTCCTGTCCGCCACTCATTAAGGTACAACCATCGACTCTGCCTGCTGCGTCTGTTCAAAAAGGTGTGCTGGTTATTTTAGTCTCTTTTCAACTCGACTAACTTTCACGACTTACTAGTCCTGGACGGCGGCGTTTTGGAAAGTAGAGAATGCAACATTCTTCATGGTACAATAAAAATTATGCTTGTTTTTCAACTCTAAAACCTACTCTTAATTCCATCAAGACGTACCGGTAGTACCAAATGGTTTCATTCTCGATCCAGAAAAAGGCTTTTCTTCTAGATGAAGATCAACAAGAGCATCCAGTGAGTTGTAAATAACATTGCTGCACAATATTTTCTCGAAGCAGTCGTTTTCACATTCTTCTGGAGATTTTCATGCAAGTAGAAGTAGGTGTTGATCTCTAAGAGAGAAAACCTGATTCATCATTTCACGAGTGACATTTCTCATCGTCGTTGTTTGTTAGACGAGACCCGCTCGACATTCGAATTCATGAGGTTGCTGCGCAATCAAGAATCTAAAAAAGATGACGTGAGCAAACACTGACTCGCTCACGCTCTGCTGTATAATTTTCTTTGTTTTTCATTACCTAGAATCAGTGCCTCCAAGTAACAGGAGAACACATGAAACCGTTGTCCGTGAACAGTCAATTTTGAAATCGCCACTGAAACTGATGTTGAACTAACTTGTATGCAAAGAAAAACCCATAGATGCTGACAATAAGTCGGGCTGTCGGTACACAACGTTCTAGTTGTCTGCGGTCTCCAATAACAACTTCAGTGTTGCAAGTTTGATTTTCGTAGTGTAGCGAGTGATCCTTCGCAGATGATTTCATCCTGTAGTAAAGATGATAGGAAACGGCGGGGAGAGCAATGTCGAAATGAGTATGTCTGAAATTTCACAGGCGGGAAAGGTGGACTTTCTCCAAGGAAATAAACGCTAAGCAGAATCAAAATCGATTCATTGGGCATTGGTGATATTGATGTTCTGTCAATCATCTTTAACACCAGACACTATGACTATCATGAATTATTATTATAAATATATTTAAATATAATTTGTACTTAGTGGAAGAGAATCATGTTGCAGTTCGTTACTAGCAGTCTTCCGGTTTTGTTCGGACATGCTATTAAATCAGGAACTTGCACTTCTATGATTTGACACTCCTAATTCGCACATCTAAGGGGCATTTGACTCCTTTTGCGGTCGTTGAGGGTAGCTTCACGCCCCTCCGCTTCGCTTCCTCCAACGTAATGCGCTCTACCACGGCGCCCCCCGCCGTTGCAGGTCGTTTATTGGGCACGTAATTCAAAGGAACCATCTGCGTGTCACGACTGTTGGGTGGTCGTCTGGTAGTTTATATACTTGGTCGTTGTGATTTTTGTCAAGGACGAGAAGACAAGAAGATGATTGATTGAAATAAACGCAAAGTCAAACAGTATTGCTGGTAAATAGGGGAGGGATTGATATCATTCTATTCTGTGCCTCCCAAAGCCGCCTTCCTTGATGTATGCATACCATCCTCCTTGACGTTTAGGTAGCTATACACAAACGTCCAACACACATATAGCCGGATAGTAGATCGTTATACCTTCCTCCGCTCCCTGGACGTGTTGCAGTTGCTCCGCCTAGAATCACGGTCGATGACTGTTCTTGTTCCGTATAAGCGGTCATGGAAGCACTAGAGGATGTGACAGGAGCGGGAGACGTAATGAGAGGCGGTGGGGGAGCACGACCAGTTTGTTCTGAAGATTTCGCACGCTGCGCATCCGCGATCATGTTTCCGGCTACTAAATAAGCAGAGGATCCAGCATCCTCAGCGGCTGTTGTAAAGGGTCCTGAAGAACTGGATGAAGAGGGAGTTGTAACAACTGCAGGAGCTGCCCCCGAATCGGCTGCCGCAGGCGCACTGTTTGTAGTTGCATCGCCTCCTCTCTCCAGTATTTTCAATTTCACTTGCAACTCTGTTACGCGCGCCCTGCACTCGGCACTTTTCTCTAGACAGGCCTTACCTAGAGCGCCAAGGGTTTCTTCGGGTGCTGACTCAAGCGGCTGAATTGCGCTAAGTGCGCTTTCGTACAAGAAGATTGCCTGCTGCAAGTCCTCCTCGCGTTCGTACCTGCGAGCAGCTGCACTATCGTGAACGAAGGTCGATACCGCGTGCCGCCCACCGCACAATCCAGCGCTTGCCGGAGCCGTCATGGGCCGTAGACGCGTGCGCGGACTATGCTTGTGTAGAACCGTTTTCGGAGGCAGTATTGACAACGACGACGCGGACGACGACGACGACGACTGCTGGTCTTTCCCTTTTTTATTCTGTTGCTGTCGTGTAGGTGTTGTAGCTGGACCGTCCTCATAAATATGAATATTTTGATTTTTGCTTGAAGAGGAAGATGACGAGGATGGAGTACTAGGAAGTACTAGTTGTTCAGAGGCGGGGGCGGTACTAGCTGCGTTCGTCGCTGAGCCTACTGCATTTCCCATACTTTTCGTTTTGCCACTTGCAGCTTTGGGGATGCCAGAATTTGAGCTTCTCCTTGCACCAGTTTCATCAACATTATTTTTTTCGAGAAATTCGCTAGGACGTACCGCAATTTCTCCAACATAGTCCCGCTCTGGTAGTGCCATTACACGGGTTGAATCCTCCCCCGCCTTAGCTTTGGTAGCACAACTGGTGAAAGTGGAAGTCGTACGAGGACAAGATGAAGATGACTTTTTGGTTTCTAGTGAAGAGGACGCATCCATACTGCAGAAGGCCTTGTTATCATCGGGCACACCTGAAGGAGGTTTCACTACGTACATTTCTTGACTAAGATCCTCGGTCACTTGTTCCTTCTTCGTGATGTGAGGACTATCTTCTCGTGGCAGGAGCCGTTCTGGCTCTGCATATGGCTCATCGACATCAAACATTTGTTCGTCCTCATCTCCGCTACCCGTGGCACCATAGATCCGACGTCGAAGAGCTTCGTCATCCTCGTCAGAGTCCGACAGAGGCGTCTCTCGCTTCTCAGCGTCTAGATTTTCCTCGTCTCCATCTTCACCATCTTCCGACCACCAGCTACTCACTGGTGACGAAGCTCCTAAAAATGTATCGACGCGGCTTTGGAATCTCGTATCAGCTTTCAGTGCTGGGGAGACGAGGCGCCGCTCGTGCTGTGACTTCGCGCTGCTGGCGTCCGCCTGTACCACAGGCGCAGCAGTGCTGCTTACAATCGCCGTGCTGTCTTGTTCGGCCGACCTGCCAGATCTGCGTCGACCACTAGAAGGTATAACTTCTTGCGAGTTCTCCGCTGACCTTTTGGAAGAGCTACTAGAGGAAGACGCGGAGGTGCTGCTTGTTCCGCCAAAAATAAGCGTACTCTTACCGGCCATTGCACTTGTGGTTGACGACGCTCCCGCACTGATCTTCCCAGCTATGCTTGAAACACCCTCGTTTTTCGTCGTGCCGGTAGCTCGCGACCTGGACACCGCCTGAGAGGCCGCAGCGGTTTTAGGCCCGGGTCGCTGTGGCGCGGCAATGCTCTTCGCTGACGTAGATGCAGAAACTGTAGACGGCGTCCGGGTGGACTTTAGTTCGACTCCGTCCTCGCTGGGAGCATCTCCTCCTGAAGAAGCCGTCTTTGCATCCTCAGAAACAACAGCAACTACTTCCCTGTCCTCTGATGGTTCTGGTAGCGCAGCAACATCTGTACTGAATTGCACTCGTTTGTCCGCTGACTTACGCGGTGACTTTCCTGCACGAAGCTCCTTTCTCGCACTCTTTAGTTGCGCGATGCGACTTTGCAACCTAGCAACCTCGTCCTGATAAATTATAGTCGCTATTTTCATTGCAGTTGGCTTGACTTACTTCTTTCAAGTCGATCATCAGTGTCAATATTCTGTTTCTGACTTTCCAAAAATTCGAATAAGAGACAAACAGCCGCGGCCGCGCTATACAAAAAGACCAAAAATCGATTAGGGAACAAGCTTCGACTTACCTCCGCAGGCCCTGTGGTAACTGCCTCCTCTGCCTTCGCCAAGAGCTGCCTCGGTCCTCGCGCTCCGCGCGTCGTGGCACGTTCCACCATTTTTCCCTTTGTATTTGTTACCAGTCAGATATTTTTTCTCTTGCAATATTTCTTATTCTTATGTGGGCGTATCCATGAAGAGATGCGCCAGTATACGGAGCTCCACCCTCATGTTGACGAATCCCGAACGCAATGATGAAAATCAAAATGAAAATTTGCGTTATAGGGGAAAGAATGAGCAGCCCCAGCCTGGCAAGTTGTCTCATTCTTGGTTTCCGATTTTGCGGCACACACTACAGAGCTCAGGTTCCACCATAGTAAATAAAAACCGTTTTCTTGTATCGCTCACCTTCTCTCTTGTTTCATTTACCACCCTTTTTTGCTCCTCTACCTGCTAGGTATAGATATAGAAGTCTCTTTCCTGCTCACTACCTCCCTCTACTTCCCACCTATAATCAAAATAGCCTAGGGAGACACTCCACTTCGGTTATTTCTTTAATTTCCTCCAACTAATCTGCAAATGCAATTCCCGAATAGGCAGTCCGGTGTGCACGAGGACTAGTAGTCGTCAGTGATGACATTGAGTATCAGAAGATCGGCTGCGAAAAATGACTCAAAGAACGGAAAGGATCATGACACAGGCTCTGGCATGTTTGTTTACGCTATAATACTCACGTGGAAGGAGCTAGCCTACTGTAGTCTCCGAAACCGATGAACATGAATCATACCCCAGGTAAAAAACAGCAAGTAAACGCGCACAAGAATGTTCTTCTAAATATTATCAAGCATCTACTTCATCCTGACAAGAAAGGCAAGTTCAAGGGACAACATCAATGGATGAAGCAACAAAATTGTAGTAGGAGAGAAAATTCAGAAAGTCCAACTCAAACATGCTAAACGATTCATCTCAACATGTCCCGGAAGAGGGATACGAGGGCCACTCACTTATGGCAGTACGTGATCACGATGTGATTCCGTCCACGGCATATCACATGCTCTGCTCTTTTCGTTCCTGTGCAAAACGGGAACGATGCTCTAGCGCACGTCCCCGACACATCTACAAAAAAAGCCGCGACTAGCTTTCCTTCATGCACTCGTACCGTCCTTCATGGACTTGTACCTTCCTTCATTCACTTGTACCGTCACTAGACACTTCTGGCTGTGTGGTAATCGCGTCTGGCTATGGCTCAACAGCTCTCTCGGCTTCCCCTACTTAGAAGTTCCTGGTCGCTGTTGTTCGTCCTGCTCCTAGCTCCGACCACTCGGGTCCTCCTCAAATTCTTGATATTTTTATCTTGCGCTACATCAATTGCCGTCTAATCACCTGCACCTGTTGAACGAAGAATGTCATTAAATGGTGAGAGAGTCTTGGATCAAAATCTATCAGGAATATTTAAGTCTAATGTAATCAATGAAAAGTTTTTGCTCTTATAGTATACGACGAATAGTCTCTTTCCTTAATTTTTCTTGTGATGATGGTGTTTTTTCTGCCTTGCCTCGTCATCCGAAAGCGGTTCGTGGTGGTCTGAATGCCGAGAAGCCTTGAAGGCACCGGTCAACTGATGCCCGACTTTCATTTCCTTCGCCTCCGCTGAAACCCGTCTAGAGCCTCCGCTGCATCCGCCGCAGCAAACAAAAATCACGGTACTCACCATGATAATCCAAAAAATTTTTTCCTCGTCAGGCATATTTCCCCACCCTGGTAACACTGTCTGCGTCAGCCAACCCAGAATAGCATCCTCGTCCTCATCCTCGAATACGCTATAGTACGGATCCTGCGGAACGCATGCGGGTGTGCATTCCTGTAGTTGTAGTTGATGATAGCAATTTTGTGATTCTGGTGATATTTTGAAAGGAACGAAAAACAAAGATCTGAGTAGAGTCTGGCGCTCCTGCTGCTTCGCATCATATACATTCCTAAGGATCATTCAGAATCCTACATCGGAGGTGTTCTCAACCGATATCCTGTAAGGGTTTCTAGATTATAGTCAGCTGATTCATGTGGCTTCATCCGTTAAGAATCCTAGGGAATGCTTCACGAAGAGAAGTGTCATAGTCTGTCATTGCCGAAGCAAAAATATAAGCTAGTACCATTCTTTCCACGGTGAGTCGTACTTCGAGGCAAGGATTGTCTAGGTTGCCGGTCGCTAGTGTTTCTCGCATTCGTGTCTGGACGCCTCCGCAATTGATGCTGGAGCAGGCAGACCATTGGGTCCACTCACCTACTTCACAGATTGGTGAAGTAGTCGCGAGCAGTTTCGCCTGAAGTTTCTCGCTCGTCGTCTGCGCCGAGATGGTATGCAGCGTTGATTAGCGAATCATATGGATTTTTTTAGTACAACTACAACGCCCATTAGAAGTAATCCTCAGTAATGTACTTCTACAGTGAAAAAAAAATTACGATGAACAATTGAAATTAATCCTGTAGTTTTCTTAAGTGACATCGCGCTCGCTTCCGTCCGTTTTCATTGTGACCCTTGTTGTCGCCAGCGTCCCCAATGACGGATCCTTGGGAGCACCACCAGCCGAACCACCTGCGACAGGAACTGCCATCGCAGCGCTCCGCGAAGGGCTACTCAGAGCGTCTGGTGTAGAACCTTCAGAATCGTGTGCGAAATCGAGGCTGCGGAACCGAATAGCGTTGAGGGCAATGGATTAGATTTTCGAACAATCTTCATGTTGGCGAGAGTCCCCATATCAGGTAATTCGAAAAACTATGATGACCAGCTACTTTGAATCAAGAGCAACAGGGAAGAGTCATGACAACACAGCCTAAAGGAAGACGAGTCTTGAAAATGAGAAAACCCTTCCACTTATGCTTTTATGACTACGAATCTTTGTCCTGGGGTGCCTTAAATGCAGTCTTTCCGACCTTGTGAGTCAGTCGAGGGAACAGCCGAAGTTCCGGAGCATGCGCGATACTTCAAGAGAGGCTCATTGTACTTGTCAGCGTCCTTGGCCATGTCGGTCACCACGTTCGAGTCCAGAATCTTGAGTTTGAAGTAGCGAAACTTCTTTGCGCTGGGATTAAGAGCGAAAGATTGCGGTGCTCCCAGTGTCGAACGGTAATCGCGGTAGTAGTAGTTATGCGATATGCTCTCCAAATAATCGCCTTCCCCTGTGTGATCTGCGAGGGTTTCTTCCTTGTCCACGTCGCAATCTTCTTTTTGGTCTTTCTCTCCACCGATTTCGTGCTCGCACCCGGTTAAGACCCAGCGGCGCGGGAAGTGGTCCGTCAACACACCGAACATGTCGAACCAGTGGACGCTCCGCGCGGCTCCTAGATCAAAAAACAGTGTCTGAGGGTAGCTGCAATCGCTGTGGTAGTAGCTGTTCCAGTCGCCGTCACACACCCTGTCGAAGTTCGTCTCGCCGTCAACGCAGAAGATGAACAAGAGAAAAAGGGAAAGTAGAACCAACAGACTGCACATGATCTCCGATCACATGTTTCATGACTTTGGGACACGCATGCAATTTCGGCGAAAAATCTTGAATCAAGGAGACTGTAGCAAGTAAGCTAGTTACAACGGTAGGCGCAGAGTGCCGCGAGCCCGCAGCTCGAGGAGGGCCCACCAAGCAAAACGGACCCCCGGAGAGGTAAAGACTCCGACACGAAGAAATCTCCAAAGTTAGACACGCGAGTGATTCCGCGATCGGCAAAATTTCAGCGGACCCCTGGCCACACCCACAACAAGTAAGACAGACACGCCTGCCATCTAGGCAGCGGCAAGCCCCTCCGCTACCTTTGCATCCAACGAGAAAGCACTGCCACGCATTCCCGAGGGCCCGAAGTCGAAGAACTGCCATGCGAGCCTGCTAGCTGCACCCCAGAGCCAATAGCACGGGCGCAGCGCCCCCCGACGCGTCCAACGGCCTATAGAAGAAGCTGCAGAAAGCGTCATAACGAGGGCCGCAGTGCGTAGTCGCAGTTTTATCGCGCCCCGGGAACTCTGAAAAAGCTGAGGTCTGCGTCAGACGCCAGGACTTTCGGTTATTTCGAAGGCCTCACTTCTGAGACTTGGCAAAAGTCGGGCGTCTGACGCGGACGCCAGGGCTTTTTCCGGTCCGGGAACCGACCGCGTGCACCAGACTGATTCTGTCCCCGGACAGAGAGACACCCTCAAGTGTGGCGCAGACCTCAGGCTTCCAGGAGGTCTCAGAAATTCTGAGACATCCGAGGATCCTGGCGTCTGACGCAGACGACAGCCTTTTTGAGTCCTCAGACTGGCGAATGTCTGCGGCTGCAGCTCCCGCCAAACCGCTGCTCCATAAAAAGGACAGGCGCAAAAGCGCTCGCGATGGGATTGCCAATCCCACAAATGCGACCACTAATCAAGGAAGCAAAACCACGACCCCGCAGCGCGGCACGCTCCTCCACCGCGGACCCAGCCGCGGGAACCGCACCCGAGCGCCCAAGACACGCGAAACTGGAGCGGGCCTGCGACGCGCCTATGGCGAGGGGGGTCGCTGTCGCTACAAGCAAGCACACACCGGGCACGAGTCGCCCCCATGCTATGCGGAGCACTCCGGTGCCAGCAATAGCGAGGAAGAGCAGAGAGGCTGAGGAATCGACCACCAAGGACGCCGGCTCCTTTCGTGGTGCTCTCTAGTCTAGATGGCCAGGATTCACCCAGCGCAACCTACTGAAGATTTTCCGCTGCGAGAGTATACTAGAAACACAAGTCATGCGAATGTTTTTCATCATCTATCGGTGTCAGAAGATGTAAGTAAGTGCAAATGACTGAGACTCCAAATCAACAGTGCTTATCAGAGGTCAATGTTCTTGTCTTACAGGTTGTGCCGAGCCCTGTGCACTTCAGCGGCGTCATAGGAATCCCGAGTTCACATGTCTTGGTGTAGGGATTACAATGTGCGTGTTTGCCGCATTGATAGCTGAGTCTGTCGCATTGTCGGTCCGAAGGCACATCTCGCTCCGATATTAGATAAAGATATGCAAATGTTTTTCAGAGAGATGAAAAAATTATATCTACTTTGTTGTCGAGTAAATATATAATGCATGAGAAGGACTGGCGAGGAAAACTACATGCTCGTTCATTCATCTTAGTGCTTCCTTCATCAAATAAATATTGCCATGCCTGCCTTAACGGTAAGCATTTTCTCTGCCTTGTGCCCGGTCTTCCAGTAGCTAGCGAGTTGAAATGTGCGCACATGAGGCCTCGGTTTGGATCTTTGAACTGGTAAATGCCTTCATAGCGCGAGTCGCCGTACCCCATAATTCCGGCATTTTCTTTGGCCACGCCGTACTTCGCGTTAGAGATAGTAGTAGCCCAAATTCATCAACAACGGTGGAGATCCACCTTCATGAGATAGTATGCCCGTTATCATACGGCTGAGGGATCCCTATGGTATAGATAGTGATGAAGGACGTAAAAGTAGCTGTTTATGTTCTCTTAAGCACTACTCAGACAATGAATAAGAATAAAGATGGATTAGCGGTGACCGCCTTAATCGTTGCGGAGTCTACAGGGTGATCTGCGCCCAAGTTGTGGCCCAACTCGTGCGCCAGCGTATGCCACGTCGTGCCGCCCGTGTATTGATTGATCCCCAGATCTGGACTTTCTCCCGGCTTCAAACCGCAAGCCGCTCCTTTCCAGGCCAGGCCAAGCAAGTTGGAATACTCGGGACAGTATGTGATGTAGTGCGTGGCAGAGGCGCTCACGTCGCTGTTTATGTACTGCGGATAGAGTTGTAGCGCGTCCGGAGAATGGGCGAGGGCCATCAGCTGCTTGTGCACCCAGTTTCCAGCAAGATCACTGCCCACGCTCTTTGGGCAGCTTTCCATCGCATCGTCGGTCACGTCTGGATCTGCGAAAATGATGCTTCTGCCCACTCGAAGCATCACGTTGTACTGGTGCTCGTAGACGAAACTTGACTGAAAAAGTGCAACGCCCATCTCTTTGTGTACCTGCGCGGTTTCTCCTTGCCCTACATACTTGAGCATCCCACGGTTCGCCACAAGGTCGATGTACATCTCATGCATATGGTCGTCACCCTGACATTAGCGCAAGTAAAAACTCGGAATGTTGTAGAAGTTGGGAAAAATCCACGTAGTGCATGCCGCATGACACTCACTTCTTCTACTGAGTTCTTTTCAACTTCAAAAAGATACCAACATACTGAAAGAGGAGGAGCACAGTTCGTGTTAAGGATCATTGAGCCTTATATTACTTGGATAGAAGTACTTGGAAACTATAACATAGTACTTACAAAAAAAGTTACTTACTTCAACAACATCGTAGAGCATCAAGAAAATAACCCCGTGCTGGCCTTAACAATAGCATTCTCCTCCACCATGCAAGGATTCTGCTTCTTGATACGAGATGGGGGAAGTGAAGCCTCCAAGGCCTGATTCGGCGCTAGGCAATCCTGGCCTCCCGAAGCCATTATGCAGTCCCTCAACCGTGTCCAGCCACATCTCTCCGCCATCGGAAGTCGTTACTTTCTTCAGAAACAGGTTAGAGAAGAATAAAGTTCGAATTTCATCAGGATGTATTCATTTTGATTTTCATTGATACTAGCAGATGCATGCCGATGTAAATCTCAGTGATCATGAAAGCGAATGACATAACAAGAGAGCTACAACATGATGTTGGTCAGCGTTCGCCTTCGCCTTCTAGTCGACCCCTGGATCATACCAAAACCAAAAAAGAGCCAGGATCTACGCCTTACACATTGAAGAAAGCTTTCCATCATCCGAGCCTTCTGTAGTGCTAGTGCTCTGCGATGATTGTGCCTGTGGTAGATCTGAATCATGATTCGCGTTTTCAATTTCATCAGCTACCTGTGAGTCCTGATGGCGGGGCGTCAGAGAACGCTTCGACTGTGGTGCCTGTCCCGCCCTACCTCCTGGCTCTTCTCGCAACAACCGTTTCTTTGCCCCCTTTTGAAGTTGCGGCTTCATTTCCACGAACGCTGGCGAGGACTTCGATGATTTCTTGTCGCTCGTGGTATCTTCCTTGTGTGACTGGAGTGCCGAAGGTGGATGTTTTTGGTCAACAACCTGTAGCTTCTTTCGTACTTGCGCCTCGATCGTACTGAAAAGAAACCGTTGAGCCTGCACTGGTGTCCGTGTCCAACCCCCTTCGTTGCCCACACCCTCGACAAGCGACGCAGGACGTGCTCGCGACGAAAGAACAGACTCGTCTTGATGTGATGGCATCCAACTTGTATCTGTTGCAAATAGAAGCCCTTCGTGCATGTGCTCTTCGTGTTGAGTGTCAGCATGCACCTCTGCCAACTGGAAGAACGAGGCCGACGTGTTTCTTGCGTTCATCCCAGCATTTGCACTTGCATGATTATCTCCTTTTCCTCTTTGTATCAAACTGTTCGATGAGGTAGCATTGAATGTCGAAGGAGATGTTTGTGTTGTAGTTGTAGTAGATGACGGTGCTAATACTGGTAATTTTAGCGAAGCTTCGCCAGTGATGTGCAGAAAGCCACTGGGGCGACTACTTGCAGTCCTGGCTCGAAAACGAGGATATAATAGGGCGGCATGCTTTTCCTGACTACGCGCTCCATCTACTCCTCTGTGTTTCTTAGAACCGCGTAGCTCATCCATCACGCCACCCGTCACCTCTTGAGGCATAGTGTCGTGCAAGAGCATCGCAGCCACAAGTTGCCCAGACACTGATCGTTCTTTCTGATTGCCTTCTTCTTGGCGGCTAGTTGTAAGAATATGATTATCCCGGCGCACGATTGCATGGCCAGCGGTCGGACTACGGAAAAACAAGAAATCCGACAAGTAGGTGACACGATCCGAGGAAGCATGCTCTGCCTCGTCTTCCTGCAAAAATGCTGCCCCACCTCTAGCATCATCCTCATCCCCATCCACGCTTTTTTTAGTCGTACTATTAGTTGTTGTCTCAGTTATCGCAGAAGTTGATGCAGACGCAGTAGAAGTAGTTTTAGTACTAGTTGCACTTTTTGCTGCCGCTAGTACCTTTCGTTTCTCCTTCTTTTCCTGTTGAAGAAGGGCAGGCCAAGGCGTTGTTTTCGTCGCTTTTTCTCCATTTTCGGTTCTGATGGAAACGAGAGACGAATGTTGTGACCACGGTCCTTCGACGTCAAGTTCTAGATGAAATTCTTGGCCCCTGATGCGCAACTGCAAATCATGCTCCCCATCTGCGCCGCGACCTTGTGCTGCACCATGTTGGTGGAGATCAACTCCTACTTGTTGTACTCCGAAGATTTCACTCTGACGAAGATGTTCTCTCTGGTCGTGGTCATCATCGTCAAGCTGTATTGCTGACGATGCTGATTTTTTCGTTGCCCGCTTCGTCCTATGGAGACTCTTCGTCGCACCAGGAGATTTTCGATCAGCCCTATGGTGACGTTGACTGGGCACAAAACGCATCTCGATCTCCATCCCATGTTCTTGTCCTGTTCTTCTCTGCTGAACTTGCGTCGTCGCGACAACATTGTGGTCTTCGATAAGGCTCCAACAGAGGTGAAGTAGCCGGGAAACCAGCAGAAGCACGGAGGTAGAAACTGGGCCTTTCATCTTCTTGTTCGTTCTCGTTATTCTTGGTCTCTCTTCATCCATGATTGAATAATATCAACGACGCAGATCATGATGTAGATAATTGCAAAAGCTGCCAGATCAACAAGTAGTAGTTCTTCTACACTGAAGATTCACGTAGAGGAAACGTAATACAGAAATTGCTAACAGTTCGGAATAATGAGAAGGTCAAAGGTCAACAATAACCGGGGAAGGGGAGATGGGACCAGGAGGGATAGTAATCTTTTCGCCTCTACTTTTAGTTTTTTTTTCATGAAGATGAATCGGCCTTCGCCTGGTGCAGCCTCTCAGGTCGGCTAACGATTTGACGAGTGTCAATAAGCAGACAGACATCGAAATTCCCCGATATAGAATAAACCGAGTCAACACCTGACCAACAAATTTGCATTACGACCAGACCGAAGAGCTCCGCAAGTGTGTGCAAGTGGATGCAGAAGTTTAATGACCTTGCACCCTAGGCCTAGGCCTACAAGAGTCTAAGAAGATACCAGAGAATCGAAGGGCGTCTTCATTTTTACCGAGTGAAGGGGTCAGGAGATTAAGGTTCAAGAATTATAAGGTGTGCTATTGCAAACGACTTTTGATTGACATCTAACGCGAGAAGCGGCATGAAGATGATGCTGATAAGCAAGAACATATCCTATGATTGATGTTGCATCTTCTTATCATGATAACCAAAGCTATAAGCTGGTTCCCGTTCTTGCGTTTTTGCCCAGCTGCGAATTATGTCGTGGGCGGAGAGGAAATATGGTCGCTCTCCTCCTGTAGATCATAGTTTTCGAAGAGGTCACCGATCTGCTAGTGGCAGGAGAATCTTTTCCCTAGTGGGAGAAGAGGCAACAAAACTGAGAATGTCCTGTCATGTGAATGAACTCAACAAGGAACGCGTAACTCATTGAACGAAACTATCTTCTTGACAAAATTCCAGTCGTACTTCTACTTCAATGTCGAACAAATTTTACAACTCATCAATATCATAGTCAAACCACACTGACAAATACAACTACTTAGTGTGTACCCAACGATAGCGAAAGGAGCATTTGTAATCGAATGACGAAGACTAAAGCTAAAACATGAACTATGTTTAGCAACAAGACGAGAGAACAATAGTTTCCGTCCAATCCATGCTATCTTCCTCTATGGCAACATCCCCCATGCCCTCATAACACGTTTCGAGACACTTGGACATCTTCTGGACTCCAGCGTGGCTCGATTCGGAGAATCGAGATAGCAGATTTTCCTAAGCAACAACACTAAGCAACAACACGACCCATGATTATAATATTGGAATTGGTGAACAAGACTAGTGGTAGTACACAACAACAACTTGTTCTATTGCTTGTTCGTGTACACGTTTGCTATCAAATAAAGGAAAACTTCAGAAACAATAAGCACATAATTGCAGAACGTCCGACGAAATCATATATCCCAGCGGTAAGGTAGCCGATGCAGCCATCAAATGACCAGTGAGAATTGCGCGTCGCTCTCGACCACCGCAACTTGCTATGCGCTCCCGCGTAGGTAGAACAAGACTAATCTATCATGTTGATCTTGATTGATGTGGTAAGTACAAGTTAACTACATTGATTTTGTTCTTGTTTTTGATTTTGACGACGAGTACTTAAATTCAAATAGTATGGCCGTTTAATTATTAGCCATCATGGTGAATGATGTTCGTTCATGTATTTCTATACAACGCGCAAAAATCGATTTTCGTGAGCGGAAAAGGAGAAGTTCAAATCACGGGTTCGGTGATAGACATTCTTTCGTGCCCAGAGCGCTAGCTGTCTGTGATCATTTAGAGAAGTACCTCGGCGTGTGGGGTGAGAAGGTGGACACAATACCAGTACGCACAGCAACATACTTGTTACTTGGGACTTCGAATCACAACATATCTAGCAAGGTAAATCAAAATTGACATAATGATACTCTCTGTTGCGCGAACAGCTACTCGTCGGACCGCATGATATTGCGGTGACTCTCGGGCTGGCGGTTGATAAACTGAACATAGAGATACTAGAAAATCTAAGATACTTATAACCAAACCAATAGCGCAGCCGGCTGGTGAAACTGCCCATCAGGATAACCAGAAGACCTCGAACGGCCGACGGACCGCACGTCGCCGGGATCTGCGGTGCCGATCAAAAAATAAGTACAACCAGCACAAAATCAAGAATCCCCTCCATTCCGCATTCATGATGTATCAAAAACTAAGAAGTAGACGTGACAAACAGTTCCACCAAAGTTCCACGAGGAAGTGGAAGTCTAGTTTCATTCTATTTTTTTTTCGATCCACCTACCAATTACACATCCGACCAATTGAAATACTCAAAGATTCATTCCTCTCGTCTACGTAGTGTGAAATCCAAATCATCAGCCCGAGAACCTGTATATTGCCTATTGAGCATTTATCGCGGGAGCGGAATCTCAGCATCGACCCGTCTTTGTACCAAACATTATCACATCGCTCCGCTTCGGTCTGTCCATTAAGTTATACATACTTCTGGTTGCTTCTAGAATTCATCTCAAAATCTAGCATAAATCTTCATCCATCAAACTCCTTCATATCAGTCGCGCTGTCCATAATGTTGCAACCCTCATGTGCATGTCCATATATCTAACAGACTCTGTATCCAAACACGGCTTGTCAACTCTAACATTCTTAAATCCTATTCTTGTACTTGCAGTCGTGCCTTACTTTCTTGGTGAGGATGGTCTTTCTCTGCAAACTTTACAGAAAATGTCTCTATCTCTATCAAGCTTACGGCAATAGAATCATATTAAAGTAGTCACCAAATTATTTTGGAAGATTCACGAACAGAACATCCAACCTCGCCAACCGGTTGCTCACTCTCACCTAATCTCCCACTGAAAACGAATTCTCTTTTCCGCCACCTAGTCATTTAGTACTCTCACAATTTTACAATGACAGCTGTAATATCGTCCACAACCTGACCTAGCATGCGCCGCGACCACCTATCCCAACACTCCTTAGCCACAATTTCCGCGCATTCACCGACGTTCCTGGCGATGAAAATGTGAAGAATGAGTTTGACACAACGTATATATAAATAAAGAAAATGAGAAGCACTTCTTGTTTTTGGAAACAAAAATACGGTAAAATAGATATAGATACCTGATGTATGTGTCGACCATTTCGACACATTCCTGTGAGCTCATGAACTCCCAAACACCATCGCTACACACTAAAAGAAACTCGTCCGAGCCGAGCACTCCCCCGTCACAAAAAACGTCAACATGACCGCGATGCCCCGGCTCGCTCGCAGATGTCGTAGGCAGCTGGTGATTGTAGTGCGACTGGAAGAGTAGCGTGTAATTGAGTAAGAGTAGAAGGAGTAAAAGACAAAAAGCATGAATATATTTCAACATGAACATGTTATTGTTCACCGCCGCAATCATGAAGAAGTTACAGGTTGTGATGACATCAACTTCTAGTGCGAATAATGATGAGAGGACTAGATTGTAAGTAGGTCATAGAGTACACTAACCCCTGAACAAAAAACTTTTGATTAAGAAGGAGTGGGATTAGCCTGCCGGAGGACAAGGACATGTAACGTCTACTGCGAATAATTACAATAGCTCCTGGTATCTGCTGTTGTCCGTTTATAGCTGCTGGCTGGCCCATCAGCCCAACTTCATGATCCATTTTGCCGCCCGTTGCTGCGGTACCCGACAGTTTGTAGTAGGTGATAGTCGGTGTTGCTGATATCCCCGCATCGTAGTATCCCGCTAGGTCACCTAGTGCTCGGCTCATGTTCAGTCCTGGGTATTTGCCTGATCTGGCATATACACGATAATTGGAGAATTAGAGGATCAATGGAGTACTCCTCCTGGTTTCACTTCTTGTTATTTTTTAGCTAAGACATATTTACTATTAAATTCTTAGTAGATGGTGACCCGGCTGTCCCTTTGATCTTTAACTACTTACTTCAGTTTTCCCCACATGATTGACCCGGCAGACGCCTTAATAGAAACCGTCAAAGATAACTCGACCGCCGCTTGATTCAATACGTTCGCGCTCCAGAGGATCGTCCGGTTTGTGATCGTGGGTCAAATCCACAGCAAAAAGTTCATTCTTGCCTCCTCTGCCCGGCCCAGTGTCATTAGTTTGTCCACCAGGTGCAACAAGCTGATTGTGTTTGATGGGTGGCATTGGGTGGTGAAGAGGTGAGCGTGAGCAAACCGAAACCTTCCTATTTTGTCTCTTTTATATGTTGTTCTTCTTGTGTGCCCTATTGCAGGCAATAAACGTGAAACCGTAGTCAAAATCACCTGTCTCGTTTTTCTCCTATAAGCTCTATATTTCTTAGTGTAGGTAATTATTTCGAATCGTACCTGCAGCCCTTGCGAGCTGCCCTGTGTCGCGAGATAGTCAACTTTTGCTGTTTGCGTTTTCCGCGCTGCGGCACCACCACCTTCATTAGAGTCCCATCAATCCATCCTGATCCTTGTAGGGATCCCGCAAGAATGCGCCATAGCGTCTCCCTTGTATGTTGGTGCATACAGCTGCGGGATCCCTATAGAGATGGACATGGATTAGGGGAAGCCCTAACTTCACCCCGGGCTGATGCTGTATCCTCCACCTGACCTCTGCGTCCAACGACTGCTCGTGAATCGCCCACATGTGCGATCCATAACTCATCCTGCAAATGCAGATGTATCGCAACTGTTACAGTCGTTCCTGAGTAACAACAAAAATTATACTGGGGTGTTTTCTTATCGTCCCTCTTCTACGTAAAAATGACAATCATGATTAATATCAATGGCAAGACATCATGCCCACAGCTTCAGCTACAAGAACCTCCTCCTGTTGCATATTCTTCCCAAGATTATACCCGAGAACTGTGCGTTGACGTGACCCACTTCGTTAGCACGCTCCAGCAGGCGCTGCGTTCGTTGGAAGGCATTTTTCAAGGCGTCCCCAGGTTTCGACAGTAGTGAAGGGTCTGTGAAAAGAACCTTGGGAAGTTCATTCTTCACAAATTCACTAACATCATGACCGCATGGACCGTGGCCGTCAAAAACGGCGTACAGCGAAACATCGTCTCCAGTCTGTGTTTGTAGAAAAGGGTTGGTCCTCATGGTGATGGAATTCATGATCACTCATGTTCATTACTCCGGAGCGAGATATCCAAATACTTCGTGGCTGAACGAAGGTCGAGAATATTACGCAGTTATTTATAAGGTTTTCCAGCTCGCACGGCATGGAGTGCATGGATCGCATGGACCTGCAGGAAGCTAAAGGGGGCGCTTCTTGCGTCCTTTAGAGATCTCCGCTCCATGCACTCCATGCTCATCAATGCGTGCTATAAAAATAAACTGCTCTGGAATTATATATAAGGATCATATTTATAAATATGGCTATGCAAGAAGATGCAAGGCTAACTTCATCTTCATGTCTAGTAGATGAAGTCTAAGTACTGAGATCATGCACAATCGAGCTGATACTGGGAAGAAAATCGAAAGCCAGCAACAGTACCTTGACAATCAGGAAGGAGTCTTGGTTTGGTGCTTCGGGTTTAAGTCCTTTCTTGCATACGAAGCCGAGTCCTTCCCGCCACATCTTTTCGCCGTCTCCGCTCTTCAGTATAGTCTTCTGAGTGAAGGACTGTCTTCGATGTCGTTCTACGTCCGTCTGACTTCCAGCGATCCAAATATTCTTGTGCGACGAGGCTCCTCCATTCGATGAGCTGGAGCTTGAGGCTGCTGTTTCGCCGGGTTTTGGCTTGCCTCCACCACCGGAAGCGCTCATCTGCTGAAGGCTTTAGAGCTGCAGAGGACGTGGACACGTTCTTGATGGAAATAAAACTGCTACATCTACAAGTATAGTAAAAATCGGCTTAGTGAGTTGGTAATGGTACCTCCGGAGATCTAACTTCTTCGTGTTGATGATGCGAATCCATTCGGCAAGCTGCCTAAGCTTTCCCATTCTTCTTCGTATTATCCAAATTTATAATCTACTTAGTCTCTGCAGGCTTAGTGCGAATCAATGCGATGAGAGAGTGTTTTCATTCTTCAACAAGATGAACAAGTCCTAGTCCTTCCAATTTGTTCGTCATAATTTTTGCCTCCGATATCTGAGCTCGGACCTCCACCTTGCCCTCCACCCCGCTGTGAGACCGTGGATGAGCCTGCTGTTGTCGACCCTGCAGTCTGGCTGCGCGAACTCCTTGTTGACGCATTCTCTTGTTTCTGCGCAACTTTTTAGATCGAGTATAAGAATACCCGTGTACTGTTTAGGAGGAAGAACTACAACACCTCCAGTCGTTGAGTCAGTCCATGAGCATGACTGGAATCAATGCTACCGCAAAGAACAACTGACTGTTTGTAAGCTGCAAGGCGATGATCAAAAGCCTTAATCTGGCGTTGCGCTGTTGTTGGTTCCTGTCCCAGAGGCCGCGAGTTGTTGAGCTGCACTGCGATAGCTCACATTCGCTGCCTTCGGATGGTCTTTCGCATTCTCCTTGCTCGAAGCCGTGCTCAACGTAGCTGATACTCCGCTCACCGACGACGTCCCCGACACGCGACTCAATGGCACGGGCGCCGCTCCATGACACAAATGAACGAAAGAGATGAAGATGCACCATCAAGACTAAGCACTTAGTAAAAGTTTCAATCACTGACTTCTAGGCGATCTCGAGGCAAAGCTTCCGGAGTTTCCAGTAGAACAATAAAATACAGCACTAGTATTCATCACGACGCCATCTTCACACTTGTAAGAAACTAGTAAAAGTTGTACAAGCTCCACCTCCATCAACCACGAATCGAAATTATCTTGATCGTGGCGCAAAAATTAAGTAGTATCAGTATGTATGTAAGTACTAAAAGTATTACTCTTGTTACTCATTAGTCAACATTTTACTTAGACGAAATCGAAAACCTCATCAACTACAATTTTCTCGCCATAATGTTCCCCCTCGTTGAAAATCTCTGAGGGGCCCCGACTGTTCCCGCCGTTCCCATGTCGCTGTTCCAATATCTCCTCCAGACTTTGCGATGAAAACTCGCTCGTACTCCGCTGATTTCCTCCCGGCTCTTTCGTCGGGTTCAACTGTAGAAACAGCAGAGAACAAGGACGGTTTTACTTGTAGAGACACAGAAAAAGCTTCTATTTTCTTGGACTGTTTGCATTCTTGTTCTCCTTTGGCAGGACATCATTAAAATGAGGGAGCGCAGTACGTACCTACTTCACGAATTTCAATTCCATTTTGACAACTTGACACAGCTTGTTAGAATGTAACGCTAGAACTCAGCACCTTTCCTGCTACCTGCACAGGATCCACGAAACCAAGGGAGAGCCTTCGGCGCTGCTCTGCCACCGGAGGTTTCGATGCATGACATCCCATCGAATAGCATCAGGGCTTTATAAGTTGCGCATTTAGGAGTACCAAGTACGTACTGGAACAATCTTTATCGGATGTGGCTGCAGTGAGAAGTGAGCAGGCTTCGTGTTCTTGGTTTATCGAGCTTCCTTGATGTTGAGGTTTTTCTTGTTGATGTGTTGAGATGCGGCCCGTTGCTGGTGTCGATGCATTACAACATGGGAATTACTTCGGATACGCAATGAGGTTCACATTCAATCCCTTAGATATATGTAGTAACAGTAACTCCTTGTACTTTTTTTAAACTAGCCAACGAAGCGATGCATAACCCATGAAGAATCTTCCATAAAATCAAACAGATTTGATACTACATTACAAGCAGCAAATCGCCGCTTCTTTCTTCTAGTCTCATTTCATGCATTAGGGAATGTGACTGCAGGACGCAAAGCCCATATTATTTTTTTGTCCTTGTGTTCCATTTCGAAAATATCATCTTAGACTGTTTCGGTTCTGCTTGAGGGGGATACTCACACACAAAGTTTGTTACATCTTCACAGATAATGCCATTTCCGGTATGGTTGTGTAACCGTGGTCTATCACTATAAATACGATTGAGCAACTCTCTCCCTCTGAAAGACTGAGGTAAGTAAAGACCTTTAAGTTTGATGAATAGTAGATATTAAAGCTACGTCAATGATTTGGTGGAGGATCGATCCTACCCCATTAATAGATTCTTGGTTGTCTTTGAAGGAGTGTTTGAACTTAAAGGTCTATTGAGGTTGAGCAACAGGCTGAGCGACGTGGTCGTCAGGACTAGGATATCACAATAACTACCTACTAAACATGTTTGTTCTCGGAAAGTTTCATAGAAGAACATCTTAGAGACGCTCAAGATTCACATCTTCAATCATGTCCATTTATAGACTGGCTTATTTCTCATGCTCTCTCTCTCTTTCTCTCTTTTTGCAATCTACCTCTTTTCGCAATGTACTATAGGAGGTGGTGTGATACAGAGCGAAACAGCGTTCCCGGACTCGACCATGCTGAACAAGTCATGTTGTTCTTCACGCTCCCTTAACATCCTCGCGCTTCCTTTGTAGAGAACGAAACGTGAACATGAAAATCTATCTTAATAAAGCCGCTTTGGGTTCTTTACGTCATTTCCATTTTACAACCGTAACGCTAAGCTCGGCGCTGGCAGCACGGACTTTCTAAAAAAAAGAAGATGGAACCTTTATTACACGACGACAATCGAATGAATTGTGGTCAAGTGATTATGGAGAAAAGCGGGACGCTTTTCTTCATTGGTCTTTGTAGCATAACAACTCAACAACATTCGCATGTCGTCCTTCAATCGAACAGAAAAAAGTTGAGTGCTGTGCTAGACATAGAGTGTACAGCTAGTAGCAGCTCTAGGTTTTCAATTGTTTTTTTCATCGCAGTCATGGCCACGTGTTGATCTTTATGATCAAGCACACCTGCTTGTCGAGTCCTACTTTTCCCATCAATTGAAAATATAAAAGTTTTATTTTGGATAGCTTCTTGGAGGTGTGCGAATGAAATCTGTGGTTGCCATTTTACTGCCGCACTTTTCCGTTGTAGTTTGAACGAGCTGTTGCAACCGCTTGTCCACTTCACCATCTGCTGCCTCACTATCCCGCATCAAGACCCAAGCAAATTCTTTCAAAGTAAACAACCCCAAAAAGCTTATCCGGGAGTACACAAGTGCGTAGGAGTCGTAATCGGTGTCTAACACGTCGTAGGATCCCCAAAACGGTTGTGGCCCGATTTTCACTTGCAGATGCCCATCGGCCTCCGCTCGAAGACGACGCGCGACACCAGGAACTCGGTTGCGTCCATTCTCGCTGCCATCCTTTTCCTCACTATTAACCACGTAGAAGGTCTCATATTTTTCATCAACTACATCTGAGGATGCGGAGGTGGAGCTTGTGCTATTGCTGGCAGTAGAAGTAGTGTTTGCAGCTGCAGCTGCAGCAGCTGTAGCGTCACCACCAGCACTGCCCGACCCATTCTCCTCGCTGGCTGTCGTCGGCGGTGAAAGACTGTATTCGGCCCAAACAAAACCGCCCTTCTGGAAAGGAGCCGGCAAGCGCGCGCGTTCATACCATTTACCGAGGTATCTCTTCAGGTGCAACTCCTGCACCACAGGAATGGAGGAGCTGCCGTTGCCCATCTTCTGACTTTTATGACATCACGAGATGGAAGGTCGTTTTTATTTCAAACTAGTACTTACAAAAACAGAGTGAGGAGGGTTGCTTCCTTGTTCTTTTGAAGAGAAGCAGGTAACGCCGAATGTCGAAGTCAATGTTGTCGAATAAGGAGAGTCGTAATTATACGCCTTGTAGAAGTTAATCATAAAGAATCAGAATCAATGTGGTTTCGTTCATCAATAGTAAATGTATTCCTGCTGGCAAAAAACTATGTCTATCAACAAGTAATATATTTGAAACGGGTCTTGTTACTCATGGCAAAGATATTTGAATTTGTTTTATGACCATCTTAAGAGAAGACGAGCTTGCGGCGATCATGTAGCTTTTGATCTGGTCTTTCAGGGATCGTCATGCATAGCTCCTGAGTGACATGCCGCTGCATCACGTTCACGATCGCGATCTATTATAATTTGTGGATGTGATCTGGGCGTCTTCTCATCAGCACACGCTACCCAAATTTCGAATCGTAAATCTCCGGAAGCGACAACATGTAGACAAGAAGCCGGCACGGCCACGCAGCAAAGCACAGCTCGTCACCAGCTTCATAATATTATAAAGGGCGGGAATCACTCCAAAAAAGCAAATAAAGGTAAAGGTTTCATCTTGCTGTGATAATCAAATTTCCAAAAAATACATGATCCCAAGTGGCACGCCCACTATTTGATCACCATCTCCCGGGCTTTGATGACTTTGTCTATTCAGATCTCCGATTCATCAATTTTATTTCTGTCCTCCTTGTCGTACTCCACCAGGAGGCAGCAAGACGACTTGACTCGGCCGCACGGAGCCACGGCGCTCGAATTCCGCTCGAAAGAACTTCATTTTCAGCAGCATTTTTCTCGCAAACTCCGCCGCTCCCTTCAGGTCGAGCAGCTGATCGTCCCCCAAGTGATCACAGTGCTGTCTCTGGATTTCGATGAAGTTCTGTTTGAAGGTCACCGCGGGCATGCGATCCGCGTTAGCATAGAATTTCGAAAAGAGCTCCCCAATGAACGACCGCACTTCTCCATGACCCCAGTGAAGCGTCCCGCCAGTGGCGTGTCGGCGAAACAAGCGGCATATCTCATTTTGCATCTCTGCCGCATCGAACTCTTTGATCGTTTTTTCCAAGGCGTCCTCTGGCAGTATATGACCATGCTGGGACACCAATGTGGATCGCAATGGCGAATGGGACAACCTGTTTTGGTCGCTACTTCCTTTGCTTAAACCGGGCGATAAAAGCAGTTGATGCTGTGTTTGTACTGGGGGAACAGGATTTTGATGCGAGCATGATGTTGATCTGGAAGATGAAGAAGATGTTGACGAGGAGGTGGAGGGGCCACCACCTTTTTCTTGTTGTACTATGCTACTCCTGTGCTCGCCCATCACTTTCTCGCGCTGTCCACCCTTATGATTAGCTTTGCTTATGTTGGGTACAACAAGAACGCCAGATGAAGTCTTTTCGTCTTGCTTGTTCGTGCCCATTCTGTCACCAAGCTTGCTTTTCGCCGCGCTTTTCGCAAACAGTAAGTTGTCGACCTTTATGGAGTCTGGGTCTGCGTAAACGGAAACTGGTACTGGGGGTAAGGATGTCGTGGATAATGAAGATACATCCGCATTTCTAGGCTTGTTTTGGCTTGAATTTGTCTCCTCAACAACCTGATCCAATGCGTTGAAGCTCTTAGACCGCCGAAACGTTTTCGCAGCTGTGTTACTATTGCCAGATGAAGGCCTTGTAGCATTTGCTCCGTTGAAAGGCTGCGTTTGGGACCGGGAAAAGAGCTTCAGACCTTTCGGCGGAGCCCACATGCTACTACCCAAAAGGGCGGAGTTTGGCTCTGCAAGACCAACATTCGTGGTCGCTAATATACCGTTATCAGCACCAAGTCCTAATGACTCTGTCATTGTTTTTGATGACGCACCAGGTCCACCTCCACCTTCACGTTCTTCAGCGATGATAGGGATTTGTTGATTCATTTTGGCGGATTCTGTAATGGAACTTGGTTCTGCAACGTCCTCTCGCAGATTCGCCATCGCCTGGAGGCCAGCTCCTTCAACATCTGCGACGTGCGTAGCTTCTCCTACTTCTCTTGTTGATTCCTGTGGTAGACCTTTCTTATCTGACGAGGAAATGCTCACGGGGCTCGTTACCGAAGGCAACCCATTCCTAGCAGTTGTCGTTCCTTCACGACTGTTCTCATCCCGAGATAACGAATCAGTAAGAGCTACAGTGTTTTTACTGCAGATGCTCTCAGGCAGGAGCCGCGTAAGAGAGGAGGACACGGATTGGGGCATATCCTCGATATCATTGTGTTCTTCTATTGCCAAGCTCGCGTTCTGTGGGCTAGCAGCATTACAACTCCTTGATGCAGGAGAAGCGGCACACTTAGGTGATGTTATCGCTTCATCATCCTTGTTGCTATTCCTTGCCACATTCATTTCCCATTCCCTGACGCGGCTTTGATCCCTTAAGACCCTGCTCTCTGCACCAAGATCTACCCTGTTTGCGCTATCTTCGCGCCCATCTATTACTCCGTCCGGCAAAACAGTGAAGCGTACCGCTTTCGGTTGGGTGTCGACAATTGTAGGGTCCTGTTTTTTCTTGTCAGTACCGGCTTCATTCGCAGCAAAAGCAGATGATGGCTCCTTGGACGGCGCAAGGTCGACAGAAGATGTTACAAGGACAGACGGTCTAGTAACCTCATCGTTGTCGGCTGGCTCTACATGAAGCTCGTCGACCTTGTTTGCTTGTTCCGTGTTTGTGACACTTTGAACACTTTGTCCCTTCCTCATGCGCTCTTCTTCACTATCTTCTAGTACTTGTTCACCTGGTGTCCCATGATCCACTATTTCCTCCTCCTGGAAGGCCTCGAGAAACCCCATCGATCCCGTCGCTTCGTCGGGCATCTCTTCCCGGATGATCTGCTCGGTCTTTCGGAGAGCCAAATCGGATAACGGTTGCAACGTGCTACTTCTAGAAGAGGATCGTCCTCGATTACCATTGGTAATTTCAGTTTGTTGCTGTTGTAGTTCGTCTGCCTCGTTATTGTAATGGTTGTAGAGGCCTTGGCGTGTATTACTGATTGAACTCCTCTGACACAGTTGAGACCATCGAGCCATTGTGTTGCCTGGCCGCGACTTGACCACTGAAGAGCTCCCGCCAGCACTGCCTCCGCTCTCCAACAAGTGCTCCTCAGCGAAAAGCATGAGGCTTTGCGCCGTGTCCCTACTTGCTTTCAGCTGCATCTCAGGTGAATGGTCTCCAGCTTCTCGTTCTTCAAGTTGAATCACACTCTTTGTTGAAGACGAAGAATGTGCACCTCGACGCACAGCTGTAGAATTATTGTTTGACTTAATGATCTCGTCAGAGCAGGATACAAATTGTGCCGGGCTCATCACGTTTACGTTTTTCCGCAAGATCTTGTTGTTGCTAGTTGAAGCGCTGGTAAAGTTTGGAGTAGTACAAGCGCTTCTTGATGCAGCACTAGTACCCCTGCCGGTTGTACCTGAACCTTTGACAACACTGCTAGAACCGGTGACCATATTGTAGTGTTCTTTCAGATGCGATCGTATAGGTGCGGATATAATAGAGATCGATTGTGGTGTCACCAAGCTACTTTCTGCAGTACGAAGCGACGAGGCTGACAGTCCACCTGCACTATGACGTCCAGAGTTAGCATCGTGGTATTCTGAACAAGGCAGCGACTGAAATCGCTCTTCTACTTCACCTGGTCGCAGCGCGAGGTCTAGCTTGCCCGCGGAATTAGCCGTTGTGGAAGCAGACGAAGATGAACTGGAAGTGGAACCCGTAGGGACATGAAGCCGAGCGTTTGCGTCACGACCAGGAGCTCCGATAACCGCCGGGTGAGCATCGACTTCGATTTCTCCATCGCACGACGCATTCGAAAAGGTTCCGGAGGCGCTTGTCACAAAAATACGAGGTACAGCAGTGCCTTGGTATAGCTTGTCCGTTCGTTGTTCGAGATGAGAGTGAGAGTGGTTGTTCTTGTCCTTACTATTTCTGGACAAAGACCTACTGGTAGAAGAAACACGGTTTTCCTGTAACAGAGCTTTGTCCCTGTGCTCTACCCCCGTATAATCTACAAGCACAGCGCCCTCTCCTCCAGGGGTGGCTGCGGTAGTTGTGCTCGGAGCCGGAGCCAAGCCGCCCGAGTCGGTGCATATTACTTCTTTGCGCTTGTTCTCGCGTCTTATCACACTGGTTTTAGAGGAACCACGAGTGCCGTCAGAGAGAAAGCCTCGAGGTCCGTCGAGGTCGCCTGCAGGACTCTCATTTGGAAGTCTTATTATGGTTTCTGAAACTCGAACTTCATCCCCAGGTGGATCCGCGTCATCGCTCGTTCTCGCGACAGTCGTACTTCTGGTGACAGTTTGATCATGTTGCATCGCTTCCAGATCCTGCGGTAAGAGTAACTTTGAAGACATCCGCGCACTCTTCGCCTTACTCGGTCGGCCGGAGAAAAGACATTTTTTGAACTCCAGCAAGTGCTCGGTGAGTCTCGCCTCGGTGTCTCGCATGAGCTGTGCCGTTCTTCTTTGCCTTGCGGTCACCAAAATGCTCTTTCGGCCAACGGTCGTGGTACGTCCCCGCATGCGGCTATGCTGTACTTCTAGTAATGCCGCATCATCATCCGCAATTAGGGATATCCCTCCGCCACGACTCTGACTATCGTCCTCTAATTGGCGTCTCGACGTTCGAGCTCTCGAGACAACTGTGGTCACGCGTGGCTTGGGCAGACTCGGTTCCGAGATTTCTGCGTCGCAACTTGTTGAAGAGATATTATCTTCAGGCACCCCAAAGGACGGCGATGGAGACGCCACGACAGGACCCCCGAGCAGAATATTACCGGATGGCAAGTTTTCTCGACTTCTTCTATGGTCACTTCGCAAGAATGGATCAAGAAGGTTTTGTTTTGTCAATCGATCTTCTGGTTTGCTAACGACCCTTTGTTCCTCACGAAAAGCCGTAGTAGAGTGGTCGACTTCACTCCCTCTGCGTCGATCGCTCTGGGTTTGAACAGGGGCAATATTGGCGCCGTCTTCACCCAGCTGACTGAGAGACTTTGCGCCCTTTCCATCAGCGTTCTCCATAGCAACGATCGCAAGGCCATTCACATTGTCACCTCCTCCTTGATTTTCTCCTTCTTCGTCATGCGTTCCCTCAGGTGCTGCAATTTGCCCTAGCCCAGTCACACTTTCTTGCAACACGTCCAAACGGTCCAGAAAATCGACTAGCTCTGTTTCGAGAATAAGACGCTGTTGCTCCGCAACATCCCGACGCTGCGCCTCAGTGGCATCCCTTGCTGCACGCTTTGCTTGCAGGTCCGCCAATCTGCGCTGAAGTTTCTCTCGCTGAGCATCCGCGTCGTGAGCGAGGCGAAACTCCTCGTCTCGCAGGAGTCTGGACAGCTTGTCTTGCTGTCGCGCGTATTTATTTCGCAGTTTTAGAAGATCACGCACTACTGGTGGCAAATCGGCGACGGAAATATCATCACCGGAAATTTTTGTTGTAATAACATTGGAAGACGCATCTACTTCGCCCCCGACATTTGTAGACGAAATATTCGTTGAGGATGCTGGCGCTGGCCCAATTTTATGCCGCTGCAACTTCTTCTCTACTTTACCAGCCTTTTCCTTCGCAGCGTCTAGTTGTGTCCGCAAATCCACCCAGAGCTTAGAGGACTCGTTACCGCATATTTTTCGTGCACTGTTATTGTGTCCGGATGCCGACGCCTCCCCGCCTCCTAGACTACAGCTTGTCGTGCTCGTGCGTGGAGTTACTGGCGTTACACTGCCGCTCACAATATCATCTTCATCTTTTTCCTGATCTTCGATTAACGCTCCAGTGGAAACATCTTCACGCAAGTCGCATATTGAATCTTGGAAAGCTGCGCTGGTCGTAGCACAGTCTTGCTCGAGGACAGGTACCAGTGCGATCTCACTGCGTCTTCCAAAGCTACCAAAGGTCGCCTCTTGCTCTATTACTGCTAGTTCCTCTTGCAGTGACTGGATTTCTTCATCCAGGAGCGTAATGGAAACCCTCTCGTCGTCAAGAAGTCTATTCTTGTCACCAAGACCAATGTCAATAGCACCTTCACCTGCACTAGATGACGCATCTCTAGTTTGTCTTCCATTATTTGCAGCTACTTCTCCGGCCACCACGACCCGTGTTACAGAAGTACTAACACTAGAAAGGTCACTTCCGAAAGCCGCTGGGTAGTGTTTTAGATCAGCAATCTTGCGCTTCCTGATTTTGATTTCGTTCTCAATCCGAAGCATCTCTGCCCTCTCTGCTGCATGACTACGCGAGACACGCGGTGAGATATCCTCCTGGTAAAAATGCTTCATCTCTTCTTCAAATTTCAGCTTCAGTTCGCCCAGCTCAGAGAACATCATACTCGAAAGGGCCTCGAACTGCGATTCCAGAAGGACAGAACGCTCATCATTCTCCTCCCAATTTCCATGATCTTGTTGTGCCTGTACTTCTGCTTCACGTTCAACAATTTGCACCGGCAACTCGAGTCGACCGCAAACTTCTGTGCTTGAGGCGGTGTGTATGACAGCACGGCACGCATCCTGCGGGATCTCGACGTCGACGGTCGAGGCTCGTCCGGAAGAGGTTGAAACAAATGATGTGTTCACTCCAGCATCCGCGGTATCTAGGAAATCCAGTCCTGTACATCCAACTCCTGCGTCCTTGAGACGTAATCGTTGCACAGGAAGAAAATGCAGGTCAGGATCCAGTGCTTTTGAAGATGGTGCCGCGCCCGCGTGATCTATCTCAACAAAGATCGTTTCCCGGTGATCCAATGCTGGTGATCGCTCCGTATTTTCCCTACTTATGAGGCTCTCTTGATCTTCGACGTTTGCTCCTCGCGGCTGCGGGGGTCCGACTTTGTCAATCTCGACGAATATGGTTCCCCTGCTGTAATCCCCTCGGTGGCTCTGCTCTTCGGAATCGAACAACTTCAGCTTGTCCGAAGCCACAGGCGTAGGAGCTTCGTCCGACGCATGCGCATCTCTTTCTTCTATGCAAAGAATGAAAGACGTGTTGACACCAATATCAGCTGTCGAAGGAGCGCACCTCCTCGAGGCGGAGCCGGAGGATACATCTACTACGTTCTTCTTACCTCCGGTAATGAGGTCCCTAGAAGTATGCTCTTGGTCGATTTGCGAACTTCTATCGCCGTTGTCCCCTACAATTGTGGTAGCACACAGCGTGTGTTCGAGTTCGTCGATTGTTGTTCGAAGTGCGTCATTCTCTGACCTCAGAATGGCCTCCGACTGCAGGAAGCGTGCCTCGCGATCGTTCCACTTCTCTTGCCAGTGTCGGTGAAAAGCAACATACTCATCGTCCTCGCGGGCGAGTGAGGCGGACCTGCTCGTGCGATCCTGTGATGATTTCCGCAGTGCTGTAGGAGTCGGTGAGGTTCTTGGAGTGGTGAGGAACGTACCTAGTTCATGTTCATGTTGTGGTCCCTGATTCATTCGCTGGAGATGAATTTGCTCTACTACACCAACACCTAACATGGAGTTGCTGGAGGTACTAGTTTTGATTCGATGTTTGAAGTCATCCTGAGAGTGATCTTCCTTGTCCATCCTGGAGGCTGTCCTACTCAAGATATCAGTGGCCGCGACTCCCGTCTCCTCAGATGCAGGAGGAACGATCTGATGTGTGGAGCCGGTCGAACAAGTCGTACCCTCAGGCTCCGTAGACGAGGCGTGCGAAATGTCAAACACTTGATGTGTTCCCGCTATTATAGTCTTTTCCACCACGCAATCAGCGATATCTACTTTTCTCTCCGATTCTGGCGACGTTGCGCTGCACCATTGCGCTTGCTGCATTGCTAAAGAAGACCCTCTATTTTGAGCTGCGTCTAGCGCTGAAGGTCTGCTGTTGCTCATCGAGCCGTTGTCTTCAGTAGAGTCTCTCTGATACGGAGAAACTTCGTTTTGCTTTTCAGGAGAATCTGCATTCGCAAGATCAGGTCCTTCCCTCTTCCGACGACCTCCGCCTTTCGTTCCTCCATTCGTCTCGCCATCAATATGCCCTGTCGACATTTTTGAGATAACCTTGGCAGTTTCTAATCCATCTAATGCTCGAGCAGCTTTTTCGAGCTCCTCAATGTGTGCAGCGGCAGCCTCCAATTCTTGTTCTTTCTCCCTGAGCTTTTCGGTTTTTGCCTCGAGTAAATCAACCATCTGCGCCACCGCATCTGCACTCAGGCTAATTTTGCTTACACCGGAAAGTTCTTCATCGTGTTGCTCTGCTTGAAGACTGTTCTTGCTCATCTCCTCAACATGCTGACTGCTATCTTTGGCTAAAGGTGGTCCTGCAAGATCGTCAACGTTTTGTTCGTTATCTTTTTCCGGTTTTTGCGTCTTTTGCAGCATTGACAGTAGGCGTCTATTTTCAGCCTCTAACGGTCGAATGCGGTGCGCGACTAGGCGGGCAATCCGCGAACGAAATGCCGTTGCTGCCGCAGCTTCCATTTCCCTTTTCAGACTCCGTACTTCCTCAGCGATCATACGGGCTAAACTTCTCTTACTTTGTACCAGCAAGGACGCGTCAAACAAGTGGTCCTCGGCATTAGGCTGACACTGATTCTCAATATCATGGGACGAGAACATTGTCATGGGTCTCCGTCCTGACCGGTCCTTTACTTCTTTTGCCAAATTATCATCGTTTGACTGAACATATGCATTCCGTTCAGCTTCAGCTGTTTCGGTAGCGGCTGCCATTCGAGATTTAGTGCCCGAGGTCTTTCTTCTTCTATGTGTGTTTCCGCCTCGTGGTGATACTCTTTCATCTCGTGCGAGAGAAGTTGATCCGAATCCTGTCCTTGTCTCACCCCTTGTCCGCGCTCGGCCGTCAACTAACAGCTGATTCCCCACTTTTCTGTCATCTGCATGGTCCTCTCGTCTAGGCGCATAAGTCGAAAAGCCCCGACGAACGCCACGATCATGTTGACTCCCCATTGTTACATCTTGTTCGTCGTTGAGATTCTCCATCTCCATGCATATCCTGCCGTTGTCTTCATTCATGCCGTCTACACGATTTTGACTGTGCATCGAACTTCCAGATGAAGAGCAGGAATCCACGGCCGGCAAGTCGCCCGCTCCTGAAGGGGTTTGACGCCCGATTTCTGCTTGTACAAGAGCGCCGTGTTGGGTCAAAGACGGAGCCATATTCTTGCCTTTTGGATTCAGCATGCCATTATTTCGTTCAACGACAACAACATTGTCACAAGGAAGCGGTGTATTAAATCAATTCAAGCACGAAACGAAGCTAACGATACAACTACAGTCCTCTTATTTTCGCGTTCCATTTTGTGTTAAAACCGAGGCGGCGATGCTTACTTTAGCCAAGTCTCCAACGAATTCACATGCATGCCTCGAAGAGTTCTTCATCAACAACTACTTCTACGCGACTTTTTTCTGACATCTTTTTCTTTTTGTCCCTTGACTAAGCAAGAGCAACTGACAATGAATAGGAGACCAAAGGTATTACTTATTTTATGAAAAATGGAAAAAAACAAGAAAGACTGTGACGTACTATTTTTAGCAACGCGGTAGGCTCGAGACATTTTCATCAGGACCACTACTCGACAGATTGAGGTGTATGCATGGAAACACTTCTCTTCTTCACAGAACTTTCAACATGCTGGACATGGAACAACGCGTGCATGGATGAAAAAGGTGTACTACAGCAGCAATACTTTGAGACGAGATTTTGACTACCGATTACAAGACGAGCCAGAAAGAACACGGTGCAGCTGCCGTGCGGCTACTACCTAGCGCCACAAGAAGATGAAGATCAGATAGTCACCAAATAACCATTCTCCTCCTACTTCCTATGCAAGCCATCTCGCCTCTCTATGCGCGCATCCGCATGCGTCGAGCTCGTTCTATATACTTACTTGGGCTGTGGTGCTGTCATTATGAGTTGTGGACAAAGACAAGTGCGATAGAACTTTTCATACCTCCTGCCAGTCCGAATGCTTTGTCGAAACTGGTACTGGTAGTAGTTGTATTAATGAAACGAAATGTCAAAATCAATGGTGGAGTCACGTAATTGTCTCTTCGAGTTTGAATGTTGGAATCCGGTGATGCAATTCACTGTGTCTGAAAAATTGGAGCTTCTAGTCGCTCGTTCTTGTAAAAGTTCTAGTAGAGTGCCATAAGTGCCCAAATTTGTGTTCTTGCAATGAACAGCAGTGTATACATGTTGACTTTGCAAAATATATCCATTGATGTGCATATTAAGCTGTAATCAGTCTGAATATTTCCGTCCCGTTCGACCCCTGTGGCTATGATAAACGAGATGTAACCGAAAACTCCCAAACGTCGACGAGACCACGATTAGATGTACTTACTCTGCAAAAGTATTACCTATACCTACGCTGACTCCACTGGTGAAGCATATTTCTAACGATGTCATCAGGTGTTAGTCTACTGAATTTGCTCCACCGGCTCTACGCTAAGAGCGATGTTAAACCAATCTGCACCCTGAAAATCGACTGGTCGCTCCTCATTTTCCGGATGTAAGCTATCCTTGCTGTAAACGTGGTAAGCCCACGAAGCATGCGCTCCAGAGCTGCGGAAGGATGAAGATGATACGAATCGTTGCATCGATTACGATAGTAACACTAAGTTTGTTCTAGGAAACAAAGTTATTTGATATTGGGAAATTGTACTTATGTGACCTTAGCCCACCCGTAAGTTTCTTGCACCGTGAAGATGAACACGGGCCTCGTCACAGCGCTCCATCATGGCGCTGTCCCAAGGGAGGGTTGGCTTGGAGCCTGGCGGAGTTCGAGTTCGCAGTCGTAAGGGCACCCGCCGTTTCATGGCGAGTCGCTTTTTTACCCATCTTTCATGTAGGTAATCCAAACGAGTGACCCAATTCTTCAAGAATCTGTCGTGTTGTATCAATTTGATGATCATGCAGGAAAAACAAGAAAGAATAAGAACAGCGTCACAGAAGATATTTGTCAAAAAACAATAGAAACCAGGACCCCCCCTAGTATTAAATACATGATAAACATGTTTCATCGACTCCTGCTACTTCCTCCTAGACCTAGTGCCACAAAGACAAAGCCACAAAGACAAAGCTTCCTTCTAGACAATATTATCATTATCAAAGTGCTAAGTAGAATACTTCAAGTTGAGACTTGCGCGAATGCACAACTCATAAGCTCTGATGTCGAACGCGTAGCTAGCGCCACCAAAAATTCCATGGGTCGAGGATACATATGTGGTACATTAGACAAGTAATGTTGACGATATTGATTCTACCCAGTCAATTTTCAGTTGTCTGAGACGTCTTGTTAGCAGGAACCTTGACAGGAGCGAGACAACGTCGACAGCAGAAGATGCAACCTCAAGTTATTCCCGAAAAAAGGGCTTATTGTATCGTCGTCAAGAACGTCATTCCCGAAATATATAAGCAAAAATTATGATATTCGTTTTCAGTAGACAAAACTACATGAATCACTAACAAATTGGATTATCCACAATGTTCCTCCTGGTGCATAACTGAAGATAGTCCCGTTGTAGACGTGGGCAGCGTTCACCGCGCGCAGCATTTCCCTATACTTCCATCTGTTCTCTGTTTCATTATTCTTCCATCTCAGCTCATGCTCATGCTCACCCTGATCGTGCTCCTGGGCCACGGTGCTCTCTAGATCAGCCGAGTCTGCGGGGAAAAAGTTAAAGCATTCTATTCTACTAGTACCAAAATGTTCATTATCCAAACAGGGAGGGAGTCATCGTCCGTTTTTCTGCGTATCCTTAATACTAATTTGGACTTTTCTGCTTCAATACTTCGGAAAGATTTTTGGCAGATATATAAACAAAGCTTTTCAAGAAAAATTGACTGACGCTCACAATCTTCGCAATCCCTAACAGGAGAAGTGCCGTGATGTAGCATGTCGTCCCGGCTTTGATGCTCGACTGCTTCATCTTCTAGGGCCGCAAGTTGTCGTCGACCATTCGGTGCTCGTGCTGCGCGTTGTTTTTCTGTTGAGGGAGGCTTTCTTTCTTCAGCTGTAGGTGTAGTTTTTACCCCGTCTTTTTTTACGCCGTCTTTTGAACCCACCACGAAACCTCCTGGAAGTAGTCCCCCAGACACTACAGGGCTGCGCTCACTCGCACTTTGCTCTTCCCGCAGCCTCGCCCGTGCCTGCTTGATCTTTTCTTGCTGCGTTTTCCGAACCAATCTTGCATTTTCTTCTTGCCGTTTCTGCTGCTTCTCGAGCGCCTGTTGAGCTGCGGCGATTTCAGCAACGATCCGCTCTTCCTTCGCTCTCTCTGCTTTAGATCAACACGCACGTCATTCAAAAGTACTTCTATTTATCGAATTCCTTGTAATGAAATTTCAGACGAATTTCTTGGGAATATCTTCATAGAGGAGGAGATGTTGAAGTTGATGAAGATCTTCATAACACAAGACTCTCATTGCAGATTGAAGTTGTGTTTTTACTACAACTGATGGCACAGGATGGAAATGTCAATTCATGATCTGTTTACGGATGTTGAGATAAAAATATTTTGCTTACTTAATAAATACTACCACTCGAGTAGAGAAATCATAACTTGCAATGCCTCCATGTGCATTTGTGCTCGCCATTCTTCGTCCTTTTTCCTCTCTGCCGCGAAGGTTTCAGGAAAGAGCTCTTTGCGCGTTAGAGGATTCATTTTATCCGACATATCTATAGTGATGTCTCACCGTCTCGTCCATCCTTTCCTGGTGCTGGTCTCTTTACTTCATCTTGATAGCACCTAAAGAAACATCCATCATCTTACAAGAAACAAACCAGCGATCTATGCTGGCATCCAAAATTAGCCGGAGCACGAGGACTCCTCTGTGGATCAGCCTTAATTGACGGTAGAACTGCCTTGCAAGGTCAACGAAATACTCTTTCCCGACTAACAGATCGCTGTCCAGATTCACCATCACATCAAAATACGTCTCGTCGCGTACGTAGCGATGAAAAACGAGATTTAGAAGAGGCTTGAGATAGCATCCAGGAGCTCATATCTTAACGCAACATCGTATTCGTAACATTAACATATCTTAACATAACATGGTAGAGGTAGTGTGGGGGAGAAAGAAAGGAAGAGACCCAATGTCAAATTCCTCTGGTGCTTTTGTAGTAGTAAAAATACAAAATATATAAAATCAGTCGTTAATTTCTGTTATGAGTGCTTCTTTACCCGCTCCATCTTCCTAAAGTTTGATCCTCTTCGTTTTTCTCAGGTTCGTCTTCCTCATTACTGGGTGCTTTTGTAGTTGAGGGCTGCTCCTGCACATGGCATTCCTGCAGAGCTCTGTTCTCCATTGGGCTGCTAGGGGCAATTAGAACTCTAACTAGAACATGAATGCTGCTGGAAATTTTCCTCGAAAACAAAATGTTGTTGAACAAGGAAGAAAGTGCAACACCACAAGGTGCTGCACCCAAACCCAAAAGTTCCAAGATATCAAGCAGGACTACACTTAAATAAATGTTATTTTGATTCGCCTTAAGGAGGTTGCATCGCGCAAAGATCGCAGAGGTTCTGGCATCAACGCCTCATCCTCTTCAGTATCACTATCAGTACTGGCCTCGTCTCTACTTGTAAAGAATTTTTCTGTGGAGGTGGACGTCGTCGTAGGCGCATAAGCATCTTCCAGGCTGTTATTGGTATCTTCGGTGCTGTTACTCATCCTTGAGACATTGGACGCACCAGGATAAGAAGATGCCTTGTCTGCGACATAATGTTCATGATCATTAGGCATAATTCTTGATGGTGGCGATGTACTCGGTGAAGATGTACTAGAAGGCAGCAGCAGCATCATGTTGATGGCCGAGGAGAAAGTTGTATTGCTATTGTTCGAGTCTTGAACAAGACCATGGTCTTCCGATGGCTCGTCTTCAATTAGAGCTCAAAGCAATCCGCCACTTCTTCGCCCTCCTAGGTGGGAAACCGAAGAAAATGGCCCTTGGAAATGAATTGTGTCAAGCCTTAACTGAATTGTTGAATTCGATGAGATCCTCCTCAACGGTGTCTCCTCTTGTAAATAATCCCATTCAGCGGTCGCGTTGTAAGCAGCATCCAACTGTTTCATCATACTTGCGCCTGACAAATAGTCTAGATTAGTGCAGACGGAAGGAGGAGATAGGATAGGATGGGATCATAGGGTAGAATAGGACGATAGAATAGGATGCCTCGGCGCCGCTGTGACACACAGGAGAACGTAGTTGGTGGGTATTCATTGTGGGAATTAAAAATACTCTCCCTGCGTTAACTCAAAGGAGAAATAATGATGAAAGGCTGGCCTAGGTACTTAGATAATGAAGTCCCGTAGTCTAATAGAACAAGAAATCAAAATAGTAGCTGTTGCCTTAATCATCGTCCTTTTCGATCCATCTGAGCAGAGTACGATTTCTTTTTCGCCAATGCCAGTGCGATTTCTACTAAAAGGTATATGGTAGAATATAACTCGCCGTGAAGGAATTTCCGCAGTTTGCACCGGTTGTGCTTATAGGCAAGATCTCGCTCCGTTGCTCAAGGTCTTCAAACTTTGCGCCTTGCACTTTCTTACAACGGCATCTAGAAGGAACAATACATAGGAGGCATGTGGTAACGGTAAGTTTGCTCCTGTGACTGAAACAGGAAAGAAACTCGTCCGAAGAACAATATCATCATCATCATCATCATGGTGTTGGTGTCCCATTTCTTACTACTACTAACAAAACAAGCGATCACTTAGAAGCAAGACATGTTAAATGTACGACGTCGAGCGCGAGGTTTTACAACAGGATTCTTCTTTTCCATTGCTATGTCTCTACAAGTATTCAATAGGAACTCGCCATAATGTCGTTCAGACTTTTCGTCTTGCAGCAAGTCAGTCGTCCCCCCTGCTCTGTGATAATTCGTATCTGCTACTGGTGCGCCTAAAATTTTGACAAATGGACGACGATAAATGCGTTCGGACGATGCAAAGAGTAAACGCTTGAAGCCGTTGCGTAGGTGTGTCGCGATTTGCCCAGCTTCTGAGCAACCTCTTCGGGTGAGGCAAGTATGGATGCGAACCGAGAGATCAAGACGCGGGGTCATTTTTCGTGGCTTGTTAGCATCAGTATTAGATGGGTATAAGTACTATGGGAAACTGGAACTGGAAGATATCGATATCCTCGGGGTAGGCGTGTATTTAGATGAATCGCCCTAGTTTGAAAATCCACTGACGAAGATCGCAAGTATAACTCAGTATGGGCATCAAGTGTAAAATCGGTCTCCATAATTTTACCACCAACATCCGAGGTTCCACCTGCTCTGTTATTATTTGACCACGTTGCAGCCCCACCTCCTCCACGTTCAAGTCTAACTACATTTCGTCCAGCAGCAATACTGGCATCTCCCACATCTTCATCTTCCTGCGGCAAAAGAAGAAACATGCGACTGCTCTGCCCAATAGCTGCATTTTTTCCAACTGGTACGAGGTCAAGCTGCGGCAGTTTCTTCGGCGCGGCCTCCTCATGTGGTGGCTCCCTTCCGTAGTCCCGCCACATCCTAGAAACCCACTTTTCGCTTTCTAATGAAGTATCCGCAGACTCCATATTATACATATTAGCCTTCTCCAATCTTCGAAAGAACGTAGACCACTCTTTGTCACGCCATCTGGGAGGCGTCCTCTGCGGATTTTTCTGAGGATTTTTTCCCCAAGAATCTGAGACTTTTTGGATGTTTTGCGCCGTTTCTTCATCTATCGTCTGGTTGTACGCGTCCATTGTTTCCGGAGCGAGCAGCCTCCGGGTGTAAAACCGGCGGGTCTCTCGGCCTCCTAGTGCTGCATCCCAAGCGCTCAGATCTTCCGAGCGTATGAAAGCTAATGAACGTTCCTGACAGACTGCACGCAAGGGACGCTTCTGCCTGTCCAATATCTTTGGGTCTCCGTGAGAAATAAACTGACGTGCGCTCAACGCTTGCGCGGCTACATTCGCGTCGCTCAAAACTCGTCTACTGCTTACCCCGCGGCGAGATATAATTGCGCTCGTCATCTCGCTTGGTGTTCTTGTTGTGCTCGAGGATGAAGATGTTTGCCATTCTTGGAAAAACTCGTCGAGCAGTTTCCACGACACACTCGAGGGAAGCAAGTCAATTGCTAGGATTTGCAACCATGACACGACTCGCCCGTACACGTTGTAGCTAGCGTTTTTCAGATGCGTGGTGTACGACGCGATTCTGTCTGTCACTCCATCCTCCTCTACTTCGACTTCCTCAGTGGAAGAACCGAGCCGTCGCGTCCTTATTCTAGCGCCCTTGTAGTTGGAGTTGCCGGGTGCATTCATTGTGCCCATTTTTGCACCACTTTTAGCGTTTGCACGAGCAGGCACGACCCATGGGCGCCGACCCACGCTGTTGTACCTTAGCGTCGAGGAAACAGGAAGTCTCACATTGCTTCCCGTGTTTATTGAAGATGAAGAAGATGTTGATTGTTGGTTATTTTGTCGCGTGCTAAACGTCGGTGGACTTTGAGGGCTCGAAAACATTTCGCGAGAAGAAGCTCCTTTCATCACTGTCGGTATCCCGCCTACAAATACGGGTGACGAACCAGAAGCAGCGCCCGGCGGTAGATGGAAAGGATGTTGATTTTGATAAGTCTCCGGGACACCATTTTGTTGCGGTTTGCCACCTCCAAACGTAGCCCCAGGCGAGGCAAAAGCTCCGGCTCCAGTCAACATTAGACAAGTAACATTTTCCTGATAAGCCTGAGGCGAGGTGCCCATCTTGTACTTATGTAATTTTTCTGGTAATTTTCATTCTAATTTTTCGACTTGCAGCGAGAAAGAGGACCCCACTTTTATATATAGTAGTTAGAAGTTGACCCCACTTTTATATCATAACGGTCCAATGTTTACAACGCCCTCGAAAAAAATCAGGCAAACCGAACACGATGCAACAAAAGAAAAGTGGAAAAACAAGAAACTGGTGAAGCTTGCCTCAATAATAGTTCCTTTTTCGGAGTCGCCAAGTGACCTCTACTTTGCGATGTTCCTCCTGCCCAGCGACAAGGGCGAGACTTCGTAATCAGGATGGCCTCATATTTCCCTGCGTCGTACGCCTCATTCGCAACCGCTGCCTCTTCACGCAGGTCATCATCATCCGGCCCCCAGATAGCAAGTTTTGAACCTGGCTCATTGGGATCCTCAGGTGGCATCAAGGTAGCAGCTGAGTTCGTGCTCAGATCAGCACTAGCGCTTGATGAAGATAACGAGTGAAACTCACTGGTGGAGGACGTGGTGCTTGTAACTGTACTCACGCTGGAGGTCCCTGCCAGAGGTGAAGAAGCTCCGGTTTCACCAGAAGAGAGCATCCTCTTCACGACATCTGCATTGAGCGGTATGTCTCCCTTCTCATCCCGCTTTCCTGCGTCTCTAATTGTAGTTCCTGTATCACTTGTGCTTGCTTCATTCATATTCTCAAGTTCGACAATGACATGCTGTCGGTCGTCTTCATCATCAGTGCCAGCATGAAGACCCTCTATTTTCTGTGGTATCGATGTCTCCAAAGTCACACTTCTTTCTCTTGTTCCTTCTCCTATCTGAATGTTATTTGAGATATTTGTTGTTATTTTCGCTGCCTCGACAGACATGTTGCCCTGCCCCTGCTCGTGCGCTTTTCTTTCCAGCACGACGACTTTTTCATTCCGTGTAGTTCTTGAGTTCTTTTTGTCCTTTCGTTTCTCCTCCAACATTGGTTCCTGTGCTAGATGCCTCCTCTGGATGCGCTCTTGTCCAGAATTCACGTTAAGCATGGCGCCACCGGATACTATCTTGACGACGGTCTGCGCGGCCGCGCCAGCCTTTGGAATGACGCGACTTCTCCGAAGCTTCAGAACCGGCATGCTCGAAAAGACGTTGGAGGACCGAATTTTTTGTCCAGTAGTAGGGCAGCTTAGAAATCGCGAAAAAATGATTCCACCACAAGGCGAGTCGATGGAAGTTACTCAACACTTCCATCGCACTCAACATGCATTCAAAAATAGAAATAGTAATATTCGTCTGCATCAAACTTGACCAACTGCATGGATCCTTATCAACTCAATTTCAATAGTACATCTGGAACTGTTCTGCGGAACTTCTTCTACTAGAATTTAGTCAGAGAGACGGAGACCTGCGTAAAAAGAGCATAAAAACAAGCCGAAAAACGTCCGCGCGACTTCCGTCGCCGCATGCCATGGATCGAGTCGCTTTAAGCCAAGTTTGTCTAGGTACTTCCGCACTAAGTGCGGAGGACCACCTTTTAGTGAAGCCGGATCAACTGGACTACCATGGTCCGCTGACCTGGACGTAGTTACGCCAGATATCGACGATGGTGCTGGAGAGGTACTCGCAGTGGTAGGCGATGAGGGAGAAGTTTCAGTCGTGAAAAACCGCGCCTCTGCCTCGGTAGTTTTGTGCAGCGTCGAAGTCGTAACAGCATCAAGCTTTTTCAAGGGCTCCAGAATTAGAACAAGAGTGCGCACCATTCATGCATCTTCCTGTGCACCATAATCCATCGCCTGTTTCAATCGGCTTCTTCGCCTTTATTGCATTTATGTACCTACTACAGTCCGCCACGGATGCTGAAAGAGAAAATGTCCTCGACGTCTTGGAGATAACCATGCGGAGTGTCAATGTCCTCCCTAATAAATCGAATTCACCACTACAACCCTGCTTAACTCTAGGTGGTAAGTGTCTTCCTTTTCGCGACCAAAGAAGTCCCAACTGTCATGGGAATCGTCAACGAGTACAACATCGAATGTCCAAAGCGGATTGCGGATTGCTGCAAATCGCATAGCACGTTCAAGTGCGATCCAGCTCTTTTGGGCTAGCAAGACGCGTCCGTCTCGCGCACCGTGAAAAGGAAACACCACGCCGAAAGCCACTCGCGCTGTTCTATTCGACTTTTTAGAAGCAACAGAATTTCTTGTTCTACTTGGGGTAACCAATGCTAATTTTTTGATTCTCCATTAAAATCATAAAATATCTATGTATATACAAACTGGAGACTTAACCCCCGGGGATCCTAAATCTACTGGTGAGTTATACTTTTTAGTGCTGTGGCAGCACGGTAGGCTGGCTCGGCAGACCCAGGTCTTTGCCGGCGCCGGTCGTTGCACCTACGGCCCATAAATTTGCCACGGAGCGTGGCGGGAGGCCTTTACCTCCCCAGAGAGAGTTGCACACCAACGTCCGGGTGTCGTAACCCCTCTCGCGGCTCGGCCGGTGTTCGTGCACCGTCGCCCTACGAGTCAATCAACCGGCACCCGCGAGGTTTCGGGTGCTCGCTCTTCGCGTCGGACGCTTTGGTCCGGGGCGCTTTGGCCCGGGTGCGCGGCTAATCCCTCGGCAGTAGCAGGCGTTGTCCCCCCGCTGGGGGACAAGGTCACTTTGAACCTCCAGCCCTTTGGGCCATCCTTTCTCGACGCCTCCTTGGTGCGCCTTCCATCCTTTTCCCGACGACTGGAGGTTCAGAACCGCCAGGTGCGTACGTTTTTTGTACCCGGTACTGCTTTGAGTGCCCCTGAGCCGCTGCTACTGGCGCTCTTTGGCGCTAGGGCCGTCACCTTTTTGGTAACGGTATTCTGTTGAATCCGCCCTTTCTTCTGTAGCTTCTGCTTGGGGGTGATCTTGATCGTCCGCTTGACCAAGGTGTCCTCTTGGACCGCCTTGGGCTGCACGAAGACGCGCGGGGGTGGACCCCCCCCCGAGGGCCACCGCCTGCGCAATCCGTGCAGCGGGATGAATTCCGAAGCCTCCCACGTTTTGTGGTCGGCTGTGTACTCGTCCCACATTTTGCTGGACTGTTCCCAGCCCATGTGGGTGAGGAATTCATCCTCCTTCACGGAGATTTTCCCTTGCTCCCACTCGCGTCGCGTTGCCAATGCGAGTCCTCTCCTGCAGCTGTGCAGCGTGCCGCTAATTCCCTTCGCCAAGCTACTTATCCTGGCCTTGCCTAATGGGAAATCAGATCTCATAACAGCGCCTTCGCCGTGCATCGGGCAAAAGCGACTTCGTGCACCAGCTGTTTTTGCGTTGGTGTCGCAATTGCAGTGGATTTCTATTATCCTACCGCGTTGTTTGCGGATTTTGTCTTCGGATATGTGGATGCGCCACACGTCTCCTTTTTTGGAGATGTCCGTGTCGTCCACCGCCGCGATGCTGTCGCCCCGCAATCCCGATAGCGCCCAAAGGAGGACCATTTTTTGGTCTTTTGCCTTTAGCGCCTCGAGCTTCGTACCCGGTAGGAAAGGCTTTGCTTTCCTCGGGTTGTGGTCTTGGATTGTTCGTTCAATTGCCTTTTCCACGTCCCCGATGTTTCGGAGAATGGCGGGGCTTTCGACTAGCCGCTGCGGGCCATCCGCGGGTGGCGGTTCTACCAGCCACATGATGATGCTGGATGTGTACTGCGCGACTGAGGTGTATTCATTGAACACTAGGAAGGCGGCGAATCTTTGCACCGCCTCCGGCCTCACGGGTAGCTTTTCACCCTTGGCCGCTAGCCAGTCGAGGAAGAAGGCGACTCGCGACTTTTTGTTTCTAGTCGTGGAGTCGGCTTCTCCCATGGCGCGCAGCTCGTCGTCGTTTAGATCGACAGCTTTGCGCAGTGCGTCCGCCCGCTTCGACATTTATTTAATGTTACTTTTTTATTTATCTCTCGCTGTTGTTCCCTCTAACGTTCTTTTTAGTTTTTATTTAGTTAGTTTGTTCTCTCGTCCTTACTTACTTTTTTGTCTAGGCTGGTTCGTGCGGCTGCTTAGGCGAACCTCCACCATGGATCTTGGCCTCCTGCCGTATCTCATGAAGTGGTCTCCCCAGCCTAGCTTCTTTACTTACTCGTAACTCCTTCCCACTCTGTTTTCCCTCTTTTTAGCTTGACGAGATGTAACACGTCACTCCCTCGAACACTGCGCCGCCGCCGCCGCGTTTTCCCTTTCGGCCACCAGTCGTCACTGGTGGTTTGATTTGTTTCCTCCCTCTCAACTAGAGTGTTTTTTACTCTGTCAAAAAGGACGAATTTATTGTTCCGCCACTAACTTAATAATGGTCCGGTGCCCCTGGTAATTTGACCAGAGGGCTTATGGCGAATGCTTTTGCATTCTGTTTTTCGAGGATTTGTTGTCCTCGAGGCCGGTAGCCTTTTTCTTCCAGCTAGTCGCGTTCTAGCTTGTGCGTGGCTCCTTCCACCACACCGCGAGGGAGCGTTTGCTCCCAACGTGCTCCTTCACGTCTCTCCCCAGGAGGATTTTTCCCTCCATCACTCTCGATTTATCGGCGTCGATCGCGTGAGCGGCTGTTTTTGCGCTCGTTCGATCGCTTCGATTTGTTGCGGCCACGATTGTCTTTTTCGCGACTGTCGTTGCGATGCCGTTGTCCCAGCGGAACCGCGTTTGCGTCGCTTCGCTGGGGTCCTTTCGGTTGGCGGCGTGTTCGGCCGTTTTTGGCCTTCATCGCCTTCATCGGCTGGACTTTCGGTTTTACGAAGTCTTTCGGGTGGCGGATTGCTTCCTTGTCCTTCGCTGCCGCTCGTTTTGCCGCTGTGCCGGTTGGCTGCTGGTTGATGTTTCGCCCTGCCAACCGGGCCGAGAAGAGGACTTCGGCCAGCTCTTTTTGCGAGCGGATCACTTCTGCCCACGTTCTCTTGGCGATAGTGATGTCTGGGGGAGGACGGTTGCGGTCGATGAGGTGGTGGTGTGTGCATTCCAGGTGTTGAGCGTCGTTGCGACAGCCTGACTGCACCGCATGCGCTTTGTGCGCGTGGAACCAGTGGCATACCGCCGGCGGAAGCATGAGTCCCATATTTTTCAGGGACTTCAATGCGGACGGCTCCACTAAGCCGGTTTGAGGGAAGTACACGTAGTATGTGGTGCGTGTTCCTCCCTTCGCGTTTCGGCGCTCGGCTAGCACCACGTCGACACGTTTGTCGAGGCGGCGGTTGTGGACTGGGTCCATGGCCGGGTTGAAATCTGTTTTTTCCAGATCCAAACTCTCCAACCAAGTGTCGCTCGGCATGGTTGTGCCCGTGTCGTCGTCCCCGCCGCTGTCGGCGTCGCTGCCGAACGGGTTTTGCGGGCCTTCGCTCGCCGATCGCTCTCGCGATTCGCTGCGGCGGCGGCTGTGGCTACGAGAGCGCAGTGTGACTGTCACACGTTCGCTTCTCGGCTTGCCTAAGCTCGCCTCGGCGTCTCGCATGGAGAACATTTCATTTTTGATTTCCTCCATGTTCTCCTTGAAGAACGCTTTTTGGACGGGCGGTTTGATTTTTCCCCCGTCTTCCTCGTCCGTGTAGCGCGCCTCGTCGATGAGGTGGAGACCGAAGTGGTTGTACCAGGCCAGCAGGTTGAACATGTATCTGTTCACCAGCCCGGTCTCCCAGCGCTTCATCTTCTGCTGGAGCGCGTCGAGGCTGCGGGAGCCTTCCTTCATGAATCCCAAGAACACCATCATTTTTTTGATGGCGATTTCTGGGAAGTTCTCGTTGAACTCGGTCATGAAGTCGAAGGGCTGCAGGTCGGTGGCGCCGTTGATGGCGCTTTCCACGCGGCGCAGCGTCTCCCAGCACTGGTCCAGGTTGCATCTGTCCCAGTAGTCAGCCGGGACGCTGGCGACGACCTGTTTCCGGACCAGGTTCTGGAACGCGCTGTTTGTGCGCTGCAGGTTGTCTCCGTTAAAGCCTGCGATGGCGCAGTTTGAGACCTTGGGTTGGTTTTTTCCCACCTGGGCTTCGCCCCAGATGCCTGCGGCCGCGTATGCTCCGAAGAGCAGCGCCAGCGCCTTTTGGTTGAGGCGTTGGCCTGCCGTCGTGTTCAGGACGCTGTTTTCGTCCACGTCGAAAACGGAGCGGAGGCCGTGCTTTTCCACGTGTTTTAATAACGCGGTGAGCACGTGGTTCGCCTGCTTAGAGGCTTTTTCTCCGTTCGTGAAGAAGCAGTTTTTATACTGCTCCTGTGCGTCTGCGACTTCCTCGCCCGGAGTTAAGACGGAAGGCCAGACGACTTTCACCTCTGTTTTCTTCTCGACGCCGTTTACGCGTCGGTAGACGAAGAATTTTTCTCCTTCGCTAGCCGGGCGCGTGTCGTCATAGGAGAGGATTTTGTCCTCTCCGCTGCTGTTCAAAGCCGTTGCGATGGCCTTTGCGGTCTTCTTCGCGAACGTTTTGAACAGAGCTGCCGTCTCCGGCGGCTCCTCGGAGGACTCTTCGCTTTTGTCGGCGAAGTCCACGGAGTCCTCCTCCTCTTTCTTTTTGGCTTCGAGCTCCGCCTTGCGCTGCTTCTCCTCTTCTTCGAGGAGCTTTCGGTCCTCCTCCTCGTGCGCCTTGCGGACCGACGTCCACGGCGTCTTGGCCGGCTTCGCGTCCCAGTCGTTGAGCACCTCTTTGTTGGTGCGCTCGATCAGGTAGCGGACTATCACCTCCTTTTTGGCGGTCTGCGCCGGGACTTCCGCCAGGTTCAGCTGCGGGTTTTCCTCCCGAAACTTTCGTTTTTCGGCGAGCTTCGCGCCGGCTTCAAAAGTCTCTTTTTTAATCAGAGACTTCGAGGCCCAGGGTTCGGCCGTTAGTTCCTCGTGGTATGCGCCCAACCACAAGTGGAACCACATCAAGGTGGTGCCCTGTTCGGTTAGGGTTCCACCTTCCCCCACGAAGCGCGGGTCCTCCAGGTCTTTTTTGACCGTGTCGATGAATTCCGTTTCCGGAAGTTCACCGACCATCTGTCGGAGTGCTGCAATCCAGTCCTGGATGTTTGCGCAGAAGATGAGTTTATCCTCATACTGCGTCTTCTCCTCCAGCTGCTTTTGCAGCGCCTCCATGGCCTCCGCCATGGAGGGGTGAAACAGTGATCCGTCGATCAGTTTCAGAAGGGCTTTGCCCTTCTCGTCGACGTCCTCGCTCCCCACAGGATTTTTGCCTGTGTGGATGACGAGGTCTCCGACGCTTTTCAGGGAGGTCATTTTGTTTTTTGTTTTGCTGAAAACCAGAGTGCGGGGGCACTACTAGTCACTAGTTTCTAGATTGCGATTATACGCGCACAGAAAGTCCCTGGATTTTTGGGAAAAAGAAAAGTTTTTTGACCTGCCCAAGCTAGCTTTCAGCTTGAGGTTACGAAAATGTGCTGCCACAAGCGCCAAACCCTCGCGGCGATTTTTGCCCCGCGAGGGGATGGCGCGCCGCGCGCGCGGCGGAACTCGATTTTTACGAGCTCCCCAGCACCCCCCACTGGGCGCCACGCGCCTGCCCACCGCACCGCCGGAGGGCGCGTTGGCCCTCCCGCGGCCTACGCACGAGCGCTTTGGCCCGTGCGCCGGCAGCCCGCTCCGCTCCGCTCCGCTCTGCTCCGCTCTGCATGTGAACTCCGCCCCGTGGGTGTAGCATTAACGCTCTCACCCGACCGCACCCGAGCCTCCGCGGAGGCGCGAACCGTGGTTCGCCTTCGCCGAGATGCGCCATTGCATCGACCGGCGGCGTCGCGCGTGAGTGCATTTTTTGCACCGCACACGACGGGGTTCGCGGGGCCCGTTGCCCCCAACCCTCTCCCTAGTTGGTCCCTCAGCCGACATTTTTTGTCGACTGTCGTCCAGGAACCTTCCAGAGAGCGTATCTTTTCTCTCACCTAAGTTAACTCACCAGTTAGTATAATCACTTCCCCCGCAAGCTCCTCCAGTGCATAAATATATATATTTCATGATGATATCAGTCTCAACATTTTTCTTCCGCGTTATTTTCAAATAAGCGTTAACAGATGATGAAACTTCTACCCCAAGGTGGCCAACAATTATAACAATTTTGGAGCCAACTTAATAGAACTTGCGTATCCGTGGTCGGCCAGTGACTTAATAGAACCTAGCGCCCGCTCTGCAGATGAGGAGGATCCAGGAAACGATCCAGACTTTCCTGTACTAGTACTGCTTGCGGGAGTGGATTGTCCTCCCTCTTGATCTCCGAAAGCGTCCCCGAGTGACGTCAGCTCGTAGTCTACGGGAAATTGGCTATACGGATCCGGCACTAGATAGGGTTTAACCGGACGAGCGTAAGTAGAAGCTGATGTGCCTGGGGTTGCCGCGATGCTTATGCTTGTACTTGTTCTTGGTCGAGCTTGAGATTGTTCTTCCCCAGTCCGCGCTGATGTGAAACCTCCACTAGCAGCTTTGAACGAGGTGCCTCCACTCGCATTTGTCGTCGTCCCACTGCTCATAATTGGTAGTACATCAGACTTTCCGGCGTCGACATATTTACCCGATGACTGGGCTTTTTGCGCTGTCGGCGATGCTGTGAGGGTTGTAGTACCCCTCTTCGCATCTTGTCCTGACCCAGAAAAACGTGCCGAGGACTGCACACGTTCCATCGCAACCTTCTCGTTTTCAGCAGCAACATGATTACTTTTTGCTTCACTTTTCGCACCTCTTGGTGGTGGGGAAGATCCCTGACCCTGATAGTTTCTCCCCATGGTACTTGATCCAGTTTCATTTTGATGCTCTTCGCCATCGCTCTTCTTGCTTTGCTCAGGACCTGCTGCATCGACGTCCTTCAGACCTCCTGGTACATGTTGAGACCCTTCTCGTTGCGCCTTGCTGCTACCTGGGCTCGGCTGAGTAATCCCTCGAGAGCCAGGTCCTGCAAGAGAGAGCCATCCCGCTAAATCTTTTCCAGGCTCGTGCTTTTCCTGATTTGGGAGGGAGCTTCCTTCTGAAACAGCATGATCATCATGTTCATGTCGCGTTAACGGTGCTACTTGAGTTTTTTCAGTCTCTCCTCTGTTGATATCAGGTGCAGCCCGAAATCTGCAGACGCGACTCCGTGTCGACGACTTTATTTCAGAACTCAAAATGGCGCCTGTAAGGATATCCCATTTGGTTCCTGTGTCGATAAAAGATTCACATGACGAAGATCCCAAGAATAGGTGCCCCGCAGGAGAACCACCAGCAGATTCGATGCTCCTTGATCCATTTTTGTTCTCCTCTTGTTGTACTATATTCTTCAGGGACTCGATTTTTTCATGCGCTGCTTCTCCAGTTTTGTGCGTGCTTCTCCTGTCAGCTTCATTTCCTCCAAGAAATGGAACAACATGTTGACGCAGCTTGTCTTGCAGCCTTGTTACGAGACTGCGCTGTTGATCTGCATATAGGTGGACATCAGATGATGTACAACCTCGAGCGAAGTAAACAAAACCTTTTGCTTGCGTTTCCGCAGAACGATCATATCTTCCCTGTCTGCCAAAGACCTGGTGGTCTAGATACGGATTCTGGCACAAGATAAAAAGCAAGCCAAAAACCACCGCATACAAGATGCCCTGGCGGTGCACTGGTGCCCCTGCTGCCGCGCTCCGAGAAGCAGAAGTGTTCTTGAGTTTTCTTAGTACACCACGGACTCGATCCCCCAGTGGTGGTAGCATCAGAGGAACGGCCAGGCGCTCTTTCAAATAGAAACAAATAAGTAGATGTAATTCGGTCAACCAATTCTTGACCCTTCCTCGTCCTTCCTAGTTTCTTTATTTCGTTTTCGGTGACACCAGCTAATACCTGTTCTCGCGTTCGCGGGGGATGAAGTAGAGGTTCTCCTTCTCCAGCAGCTCTGGCTACAACAAATCTAGGCCAGGCAAGGTAGTTTCTCACCGGTACAATGTTATGCTAATTTACTAACTCTTCACCTCGAGCATGTTGCTAGCAGAGACTAGCAGAGTTCGTCGCAAGGAGAAACCGAGCATGGGCATCCGTAATTCAATCTTCGACGTCACGTTTGGAAATCAATGCAATCAACTCATTCTTAGGTGCAACAACAGTCATCCAAGGTAAGGATTTTAGCAATACAGGGGAATAAAAAGACGCAGCTGCGACCGGCTTCTCGAGAAAGCAAACGGGAAGCAAGCGAAGAGGAGATCAAAAGGAAGATGAAGTCATTTCCATGCCGGAAGAATACTTTCATCGTTTGTCATCGGTCTCCGAGAGAACTTCTTTTTTCCCATACTCTTGGACACTGTTTTGCATTACATCCGTCTCTCTTATTCTCGTCTCTCACACCTCCTCGCCGGTCGTGTGCTGGATTTACTTTCGTCCCTTTTTCATCACCTCCCTCGTAATTTCTCTTCCTTCTCACTTTACTGTTTCGTCCTCTCCTTCGACAAGTTTGCTTTTCCTCCTAGAATTCTCTCTCTTGTTCTACCTCATCTACGTCACTATCGCGAGTACATAGTCTGCGATTTAAACTGGTCGTGGGAAAAGCGCCCCCTCTATGCGTTATCTGTAATGATAAAACCTTCACTAGTCCAATGACAAGTCAATTTCAAAGTCAACAGAAGTACAAGTTCCAGTGGCTTATATATTATTTCAAGTTCAAAGCAAGTTGGTCGCGACTCTGTCTCAACATAATGGTGTTCTTCCTTCGGAAAAACATCACAGCCTGCGTTTGCGACCTAGATCGATGGGCTTCCCGTGTCTGTTCGTGATTCAAGAACAAAAAAAGGAGATCTGCTACGCGTTAGGTATAGAGGATACAAGAACTCAATTTAACCAACAACCATGTTCTAAAACATGATCAACATGAATGAGTCAACCTCTGTATTAATCCGCTGCCAATCTGGGAGTGTAAGCATTTTTATGTTTATCATCTTTAAGTATAAACATTTGCGTTACTCAACCTCAAGGAGACAAGCCTTGTCGCGCAGGCTGTCGATATTTCGATACAAGAAGTGCTCTACAACCTTGAATAACTGATGGAAGATAATGTAAAAATTAACAGAAAACACCCGCAATTACAAATAAAAGAACTTGAAGTTGAAGTTGAACTGGTCGTGTCTACAAAAAAACCCTAAGCTGTTTGACGATGACGACCTTTTCCCATTAATATTCAAGTGTGCCACCACCAGATCATACTAGCTTCTGGGAGCAGGTGCCTGGCGTGCAAGCGCATGCCGCTGAAGTCATATTGGCGGAGTATCCAAAATTTTCGGCGATCAATTGGGATAGAGAAAACGTTGAGCCTTGGTCTCCTCCGAGCCCTGCTGCGAAGGAATCCAGTTCACCGTCATGGTCGTCCTCTGCCGCTTCAAACAATTTATCGGAGGTGGACCCTACCACCTGGTCCACGAATCCTCTACGAGGTAGTGCTCCAGTATCCATTTTAGCGGAAGTGTTGTTTACTATACTACTCAGTAGAGCAGGAAAGCAGTCCCTCTCCCTCAGTTTCGTGTCGATCGTTGTAGAATCTTCATCTACAACTTGTTTATGCAGGAATTTCATATGGTCATCATGGTTGTTTTGGTTCTGTAGTAGAACACCAGTGCGGGGAGGATGGTGTGTAGCTGGTGTCTGACGACCGTCGGAAGCCGCATAGTGGTCGTCACCGAGTTTCGGAGGCATGTTAGGCTTTTTTCTTGGGGGTGGGCTGCTTCCTGTAGTCTTCATCGATATCTTACTGATCGAGAGTGGATGTGGCTGCCCCAACGCTGTCTTAGCTTTCTTACCAGCACTAGAAGAAGTAGACGATGAAAAAGACGAAAAAGTGCTGCTTTCGTTTTCTTTTTCTCCGGTGTTCGTGGTATGATGAACGCAATTTTCATCTTCTAGTACAACAGAGCAATTCTGTCGAGCTGCTCGAAGTGTTGAGGGTGCCCTAATCTTTGTTGCTCGGCCTGCGCTCTTTTTGAGTTTGGGAGCATGGTCGTGAAGAGGGCGCGCTGCAGGTGCATATCGTTGTAATTGACTCCTCCCGAGCCTCTCCCGCTTCCCGTCGTGAGATACTGGAGAAGGCGAAGTCGGACTGGAAAGCTGCTTTCTTGGGTCACCACTTCTAATTTTTTGAGCACCAGCACCACCAGAGGAACTTCTACTAGCATCTTCCCCTTCCGCTTTACAACTGGAGCTAATGCTCTCAATTTCACGACACCCGGGACGGTTAATACTGGACGACTGAACAGACCGTTTCTCTTGTTTATCCTGTGCACGTGCTCTTCCTTTAGATTCGTTTTGCTGCCAACTAAATCCTGGCTGCTCTTCCTGGGGCTTGCGCTGTTTCGTAGTTGGGCGAGCATTTGGATACTCCGAACGGGAAGTGGCAAGGACGGGAGGACGTGCAGGCTCCTGAGGTGCCGACCTTCTCGCCGACGACCCCGACTTCTTCTTCTGGTGAGACGAATTTAGTTTCTTATCATCATGATCATCATCATGGCATCTCATCTGGTGGCCCTTCTCATTCGTAGTGCTAGAACTGTCTTTCTTCAAGTTCGTAGTTGTACTAGAAGTGTCTTTCTTCAAGTTCAACAAGTTCTTTGAGGATAATGATTCCGCAAGCAGTGTTTCCAACAGCTCTTCACTATGGGAAATAGAGACTTTCGGGACCTTCAGCCTTCGACCAATGCGCGTACATTCTCGAACCGACATTTTAGTCAGCTCCGGCAATGACCGACGCGTCTGCGTCGCAGTATGCATATTCGTCTTGTTGATACTCAACATCGTGCTGCTGACTTTCTGCGACTGAGCAGGAGTATTGTTTGCAGTCGTACCAGTCGGCGGGTTGTTGTTCTGCATCTGCTGTTGAGGCACGCTAGCTGCTATTCTTGTAGGACAGTGTAAAATCTGGTGTGGATGCGCATTGCTAAGGTATATTTGTCGCCGTTGTTCACTGGGGGCTGGCGTACTCGGTGCGGGTACCCTCGAGCGCTGATGGACGTCCTGGGCTCGACTGCTTCGCGGAACAGGTCGAAATGAATGCCCACGCTTCACTGGCCCGGCAAGAGCTGTTGAGGACATCTTCGCGATCTTCATGTCGGTCGAGATTGTATCCTGCGAACACGATGACACGATCCTGAACCAAGAGAAGAGTGGATCATGATACCACGAGGTGATCTCGATATCGGAGGCAGATGATTATATATACTCTGCAAAGAAGATGAACGCAATCCGATTCTCGATTTTTCATGTTGAATCATGCTTAGCTAAAAAATGCCGTCATTAGAAGCTGCAACTGCAAGTATGATAGAAAATAATACTAGATACGTTCTTTTCGGTGGCGATGCGAGTATTCCGAGTGCGCTTCTCTTCTTTCTTCTCGGCGAAGATGAACGCCCAGAAGTCGCACGAAGTGCGCTTGTTCTAGCGCGCGGAGAAGCCGCTTCGGGCGTCGAAATCCCGCCAAAAATCGACACAGAGCGAGAAGACGTCGGCGGTGAGCAGGAGTTATACACAGGGGTTGCTGTCCCGTCTCCATCGACAACATACAGCGACGTTGGTGATTCAACGGCGTCACGCGCCGCCCTCGTTCTAGCGGATCGCTTTCTAGTCGTAGTGTTGTCCACATGACCGTTAGAGCCATGAAGTTTAGTCGAGAAGTATCCTCGTTGAATTTCCTATTAATTTGTCATTTTTACATTTGCCCACCGGTCACCATCTTCGAGTAAAAAACTGCGAAAAAACCTCTGTAAAAACCAATCATGAAAGATGGACATAACTCGTACCACTTTATCGTTGCTAGAAGCTGCAGTTCGTGAATGACCGTTCCGTATCCGCAGTTCGTCTCGCAGTTCGATCAGAAGCTTCAGAGTGGATGCCTCTAACTTGCTATCGCTGCGTTTGCGTTTCTTTTCTTGACCGCCACCGCCTACCTCCGTTCTTGCCTCGCCAGAAACCGACTCCAAATGCTGTTGTACTTGTTGTTGTGGTTGCTCTACATCAGCCTCCATATTTGCTTTCTGCTCTTTATTCATTGAGACTTGACTCCCGGTGCCACCTGGTTCTTTATGCAGCTGTGCCCACAGAGGTGATCCCTTCCGGCCTTTTGCTGCGACGTTGGCTTGCTGTTGCACGACAACATCGAGTGTACTGTACTTACTAAGTCGCTGTACTAGATCCTGATCGCCTTGTTGTCGCTCGTCCATGTAAAAAAAGTCGTCGTCTTCAACAAAGTTGCCGAGCGCTCTTCTAGACCACGAGGTACCCCGCTGCACCAAGTCAAGTTCAAGATTCTCTTGCTGCGCTGCTGCTCGGTGAGTAGGAGCCGCCGTCTTCGATCCGCCTGGTCGAGGCACGACGTCGCTCGCTAAGCATTCGTCCTGTACTGGTACTGCTGCAGGTCGTTCAACATCTTCAGCCGCTACATTCTCCTCAACCTCAGCAAGCACCTCTTCAGCCGTGTTCGGTTCCTCCCGGATTGAGGCGAGGCGGCCACGCGCTATCTTTAAAGAGGATGGCGAAAAAGCAGTAGTATTACTACTAGGTATAACTCCTGATTCTGAAGAAGAAGAAGCGGAAACTGTTTGCTTATTCAAGATCGCTCCATAGTATTCTCGATCTTCCCTCAACGCTTGGATTAGTTCCGGCTCTTGCTCTGCTAAAGCCCCTAAAGTTTCGGGAAAGTGTTCCAGGAGGCCCATCAGGTCGACTTGCGATGTACTCCGTGAGGCAACCGTGCCAGTAGAGACGTCATTATCCTCGTCGCCTCCTTCTCCATCGAGCGCATTCTGTACGACGACGTTTGGTCGCTGCACGTGCCTATCCATCTCGTCCTTGTCTGGATGTGGATATACTTGATCGTGCTGTCCCAGTATTGAAGGCGCTTTGTCCTCTTGCGGCATTGCTGCTCCTCTCAGCATGGACGTACTCGAAGATGTATCGTCTACCATTTCGTCGGGTGGCACGATACGAATGGTTCCCTGCTCCTGCTCCTGCCTTGCAGATTGAAAGCACGCTGAGTTCCTATGGTCACCAGGGTCTGACGAATCTTCAGGTACAACAGCACCATAATTAGTCGTGCTGCTGGACAGAGTAGGAGCAGCAGTACCACTTTTCCTTCTCGCACCTCGTTCAGAAACACCTACTTCCGGCTTAGCGGGTGAAGGAAGTGCGTGCTGTACGTCGCTTTCGCTTCCCGATGAAAAAGGAACTTCTTTACTACAAGGTGGTAGCGTATCGCAACAGTCCGATAGTGCGTCGTCCTGGTCCTTGTCAACACAAGAACGGTTAAAAATTTGCGTATCTCCCTTATTGTATGGTGTCCCTGCTGTAGAAGCAGCTTGCAAGGCTTGGCAAGCATCTCGTAACCGCTTTTTGCTAGATTGCCATTCCTGGTCCGCCTCATCTTTATTTTCGTCAACTTCATCCTCGTTGTATGGAGATTCGTATGCGCCATCGTTTGCGATGCGTTGAGCCTCATTAGAGCAGGCGGGTTCCCTATACGCTGGTAGTACCTCACAACCTGCTTCTGCTTCTGTCACACGGTCAGAAGGTAATACAAATGCTGCCTTTACTGCTGACTCTGTGTCCGTTGCATGGTCAAAACTCTGTGTCAACGCAGGTCGCTCTTGTTCTGTTCCTGAAAGCATGAACTACGAAGTAAAGAGGGGAATTAATATTTTGATTTTCAGTAACAGGAAGAACAGACTGACAGTTTTACAATGCGGATATGAAGAAAAGAAAACTCCAGGGCATCTTCTAAACGAAGCAAAGTACCATTGGACGCGTTTTGAGCAGCAGCTGAGAGAAGATCTTTATGTTGGGCAAGTACGTGCACCAAATCCTTATGAAATCGGAAAACTTGAGCTGCCCTGCTCTGCTCCTCCAGTCGCGCTGCAAGAACATCACAAGACTTCTTGTCGTGCTCATAATGTTCTTTCAGTCCATTATCTTGCAGTTCCAACCGATTCCGTATTCCGCTCACTAAAGTACGCACGGTCTCCTCCTGTATGCTGATATCTGCAATTTGATCTTCTTGTGCAGGCATTGTGGTCCACAGCTCGACGGCGGAAAGTTTCGACTTCGTGTCCTCGTCGATTGGAGCGAATTCAGCAGCGGAGCTTCCTCGACGGATTTTTTTCTTGTCTGGTGCTTCGAGTTGCTAATGCCATACTTTACTTCTCTCTGCTCCGCTGTATATTTTGCGCTGAAAAAAAAATGGCAATCATCTTTTTGCTCTCACAATCCACAGGGAGAATCTCCCTGCTCATCCATTCATTACCATTCACTCGTCACGTCAAGGGAACATTTACTTATTTTCTTGCGCCGATGCAGTTAGTGCAAGGGCATGCAGTTTGGTAGTTTATATGCCAGTTTGCTCTGTTGAAGCCGACAACAAAATGATTGCGCACACCTGCAATAAGATTGTCACGACATCGCTGCTTGTGCTTGATGATCAGCAATTTGACGCACATTTTGCTGTATTTGCTTTAGTTCTTGTGTTTTGAACTTTGTCTTTTTTGCAACGAATTTGCGAAAAAGTATCGTGTCTTTCTCCGACATAGCATGGTTCGTTAACTCTTGGCCACAGTCACTCGTCACGCATCTTGTAGATCATGGATGCGTCAATATGCCAAGACTTCTAAGGTTAGATTCGATACAGATGCATTTTTTCGAGATACTCCGACGTGAAGATACGTTGAGTATTACAACTTCTCGGAAGATTGATGCAGCTATCTATATATGTTGACTATGAGGTCGATGAAATAATCATGTTGTACATTCGATGAAAATAAACGGTAATGAAGTTATATATGTGATGTGTAGTAAACTTTCTAATTTATGTTGTTGATGTTGTTTCTATCTTTGTTTTTAAGTCTTTGATGAGCGTAGCTTGAGTTCTGAAGATGCTTCTCCGATCTTCTACTCAGTCCTCTGTCTTTCATCATTACAAATTGTAACTTGTCAGGGAACAAAGTAAGTAAGTTGTTGAAATAAGGTGGACAAGTAGAACTAGGGATGGATAATATTCTATGAATTAGATAGTGGCTCATTTTGCGTTCCCGTAGGAGCACTCCATAGATCACGGACATGCGAGTGTGTATGTGTATGTAATAATAGAACTTTTCGCTGTTCAATCCTATTTCGCATGATCTAAATCTTTCTTATCATTATGAGGCAATAGAAATTAGGTATGATATATAAATATCCCAACATGATCAGAGTTCTTCTCCTGATAAGCAGGAAAGAAGTTCAAGTAAGTTCACTTAGAAATTGATCTGTACACCAAGAACATCCAGAATTCGCGTTCAAAGATAGTCGCGCGCATTTTGCGCAGCAGCATTCGCATCTCCTCGTGGCCAGTTTTTAGGTAGTTCCCGTCGTGCTGTTTGCCCTTTGGCGCGCACTTCATCCGGGAAGCCGTTGCCCCCTCGAAAGAATACCACATGCACTGTGCTTTCGCCCGCACTAGCTGGAGCAAGCTTTGCGTTTATGGCGTCCGTGCCAAGCGTGCCCGCCGCGAGGCCGTCGCGCACCACCGCCAGTCGGTCCCCCGGAAGCAAACCCGCGGTCGCCGCCCAACCACCCGGCGCAACGCTGCGCAGCTGACCGTCGCTATGCTCGAAGGATTGCAGTCCCGCGGGAAGCGGAATCGCGAGCTGCACGTAGTGTTGGATCCGTATCCTTCGCAGAAAGCCGAAGCCCGCCACAGGGTTATCCTTTCTGGCAAACTTGCGTCTTATTTTCTGGACCAAGGCGTCGTCGCCGCTGGTCCCTGCCCACGAAGACACCAACGTGATGCGTTCCTGCAGAGTGCCGCACATCAACATGACGTCCCCAACGCTTACACTGTTCTTGGCCGCACGAGACGGCGCCGAGCTGCCGTCCGGCTGCACGCTACTCGCTGACACGCTCTTCACTGTGACCACCGGAAACCTGCTCCAGTCCAAAACGACACCAAACATGCGATCCAAGCATTCGGCGGCAGAGAGCTGCTCGTTATTCAGCACCGCGCCGTCGATCGAGCTCTGTGCCCAACCACACAAACCAGCGGCTGGCAGATTCTTTGACAGACCAAGTAGCGGAAGCAGATACGGCACAGAAGCCGCGGTGGTTGTAGCCGATGTCGACGTTGGCGCCGTAGCAGTGGACGCTGCAGGCGCTGCTGTAGCTGCTGGTGGAGCTGCTGCACCTGGTGGCTTTACTGGTACTGGTGCTGCAACTGGAGGAGGCTTCGCTGGTTGTGCAGCTACAGGTGGGGACTTTGTTGCAGTCGATAGAGCTGTGGACGTGGCGGCAGTTGCGATGCCCCACGCCTGTGGCAGCTGCCTCTGTACATTCACCGCATTTCGCAGCACATCCGCAGGTAACTCGCGCTCGCGACGAACTAAAATGTGCAGCGGCCTGGTTTCTTTCACAAGGCGATCGATGCTGGCTGGGTCTCTTTCCCGTAGAACTTCATTCGCCACAACCAGACGATCATTTACCTGCAGCCCCAACGTGCGGTCAGCGTATCCGCCTGCCTCTATCGCGGTAATCTTTCCATTCTCCACCGTTGCTCCGAGGGGAGGCGTAAGCGCCGCGAGACAAAGCTGGACGAAGTTATTCTCGTACTTTCTGCGCACGAACCCGAATCCCGCGACTGGATTCTCTTTTCGCGTGAATTTGCCCTGTAGCTTCCGCAATATCGCGTCCGCCGGCGAGTTACCTTCCCACGACGCAACGGAAGTCACCTGGTCTTTCAGGGTCGCCGCCATAATCATCAGATCCCCCACAGCGATGTTGTTCTTTGCGGCACGCGATGGCGCGCCATCGGCACCCGTTGGAAGCACTTCGACGACGCGCACCTGGGGAAAAGACTTCCAGTCCAAACGGAGACCGAACAACTTCGCGAGCCGCTCATCTGCTGGCACGTCATTTTTATGCAGCAATTCGCCATCGATCGAAGACTGCGCCCAGCCAGCGAGGCCCGCTCCTACCAGATCTTTGCTCTGTCCTAGCACCTGAAAGCAAAACGGCGGCTCGACCGCAGCTCCTGTCGCTGCTCCCGCTGCGCCACTGGTACGAGGAGGTGCTTTAGCGGTCACTGAACCAGCCGGCTTCGGAGCAGTTGCGACGAGACTGGAACTGATGACCTTCTGATTTGTCGCGTTACCGGTTTCGGACGTACTCGAAGCTTCGGAAGCCGAAGACGACTCAAGTTCTGCCAAGAGGGCGGCTCTGGCTGCACTAGATGCATCAGCAGAGGGCCCACTCGCAGTCGCAGCAGAAGCTGAGCTTTTAGCTGGAACAGCGTTACTAGCAGGCGCATTGGCTGCAGCAGTGGCCTTTGCACCCGCCGCAGGAGCCGTTACCTTTGCAGTCGGCGCAGGACTTGTTGCCTTTGCAGTCGGCGCAGGAGCCGTTACCTTTGCAGCCGGCGAGGGAGTCGTTACCTTTGCAGCCGGCGCAGGAGCCGTTACCTTTGCAGCCGGCGTAGGAGGTGCCTTTGCATCAGTAACAGGAGTTGCTGCACTTACACTCGAAGCTGGAGCCGCAATTTGAGGTGCCGCAGGAGAAGCTGCACTCGCAGCGGCCGCAGAAACAGCAGTTGGGCCCGCAACTACGGACTGCGCCTTTGCAGCTGCTGCTGTATTGGCGGAAGTCGCCCACTTCGCTGGCAGGCCTCGATACAGACTCCGAATTGCGGTGTTTGTCTGTCCTTCTGGCCAGTCTACTTCTCTGCGGGCCAGAATGTACAGAGGTCGTGTGCCTCCCCCACTTGGCGGAGCCATCCGTTTATCGATTGCGGTAGGATCTTTTTCGCGCAAGGCGTCATGCGCAACGACTATACGATCCTCGACTTGGAAGCCCATCTTCTGTCCAACACCTCCAGGGGCGACTGCGGTAACCTTCCCGCCTTGAACTGTCATACCCAAATCTGGCTCACTTATCAGCATCTGCATGTACCTCATACATTGACCATGCGTAATTGTTGCATTCATCAATGCGAATGAGTTCCTCTTGATCTTGTACAAGCTGAAGCTTTATATATTTTAGTTTGCGTATTCCTGCTCGATGTCTCCAAAGTTTCTTGAATGCATTTCTTCAGAAGGAGCAAAACCATTTTCATTTCATCTTCATCTAAGTAGGATAGCATTGACACCTACATGTACATGGAGATGAAATATATTTAGGAGACATCATTCATGAATTTCTACGTCACATTCTCTCCACACTGTTCAACGAGAAATGCTAAGGCGAATATTGTACCTTTTTGAGTATTTTTCGCGCAAGAATGCAAACCCCGCTACGGGATTATCCTTTCGTATGTGCTTCCGTCGTATTTTCTGCAGAAGCGCGTCGTCCGGACTCGTGCCTTCCCACGTTGGCACCAGAGTGATGCGATCTTGTAATGTTGCACAGAGTATCATCCAGTCCCCTACATTGACGTTGTTCTTCGCCGCGCGGCTCGGTCCAGCACCATCCGGCGTCTTCGGGATGACCTCTCGAACACGGACAACAGGAAAGGTGGACCAGTCAAGTCGGAAGCCGAAGAGCTGTGCTAGTATGTCGGATGCGGAGGCCGTGGCGTTGTTGAGCACATTTTCGTCGAGGCTGCTCTGAGCCCAGCCAGCGAGTCCGGCCCCCACCAAGTCTTTGCTCTGCCCTAAAACCACGGCACAGAACGGCGCTGAAAAAAGCTGCGCAGGCGCAGCAGGGGCTTGCCCCATCTGTTGCTTCGCAGCAGGTGGAGCAGGAGTAGGGGCGGACGTTGATCTAGGAGTGGGTGAAGCAAAACTGCTCGCTGTCGGCGTTTTGCTTGGAGGTGCTGCGGGCACGCCGGTGGGCTCAGTCTTATTACTGGCACTAGCTATGGCCACACTGCCTACCGCTGAAGATGCACCGGGCGAGTTCCCTGCTGATGGCAACACTGAAGGCGCTCCGCTTGTACCTGCAACAGCCGGCGCTGAGGGCGTCGCGGCTTTGACTTGTGGCGGGGTCGAAACCGGCGCACCATTTGCTGCACTAGTCGTTCCCGAAAATGACGCGCCAGCTGGTACAACTGATGAAGTTTGAATAGGTGTGACGCCGAATGGTAGGCTTTTGGTAGCACTAGGAGGTCCAGCGAAGTTGTGTAAGTGAGAGGCCACATATTCTTGCTTCTTCGTCTTCTTGTCAGGCAGGTTCAGGACTGCCGGGGCGGGCTGTGGGCGCAGCAGACCCCGCGCCGCCAACTCCTTCATCCACGCTCCGGGAAGCTCACGGCGCACCTTGACAGCATTAGCCTTTGCAACGTCCTCTAGGTACTGAGTATTTGTTGTGTTTCCAGTCATTGTCGTGCGCCGACGAAAGAGTACATGCAAAGGCCGCGGCCCTCGGCTCGAGAGACGTTGCGCCGCGTCGGCCACATTCTTTTCCACGAAGAGTTCTCCGACAACTACCACCTCGTCGCCAGCCTGCAAACCCATACGCGCCGCCCAGCAATCCGCACCATTGGCCGCCACGAACTGCGTAAAACCAGCCCCGATTACTAACCGCTTGTGGGCCCCGGCGTCTCCGATCGCAGGTTCCAGGACGCCGTCCAGTCCCAGACTCTGCTCGGAGGCCAAGAGTTGCACAAACTCTTTTGCCACGTAGTTCTTCATGAAGGCCCAACGGCGCGGTCCGTCATACAATTTCCGCAGGACTGCTTCGTCCGGATGCCGTCCCTTCCACGTTGCAACCATAGTAACTCGCGTCTCATTGATCATCAAGGCGACATCGTGTTCCAAAATCATTTCTCCTGGACGATTCGCGCCTCCCGCAGCTACGCCGCTGGTGCTCTTGGTCTGCAGCTTGCCCACATTCTCGCCACCTACGTTGCGGATCTCAACCGCGGGAAAATCCGACCAGTCAAGCTGAAAACCACAACAGGCAAACATTTTTTGACTGGTATTCGTCTTGCTGTCCTGCAGCAGCTTCCTCACTTGGTCCACGGGAAGGCTCGAGGTCGGGTTCCATGCAACAATTCCGTAGTCGCTGAGCTTTGTAGCCTGGCAGCAAAGCGCCAAAAGAAACGGCACGCTTGCCGACCCCTTGCTATCCGGTTTCCCTGCTCCGTCCGGGGCCGCCGTGGTCGGCGAGATGACAGCGAAGCTCATTTGCCTCGAGCTGTACCTCGCAAAAGCGATACGGCTAGACCATTCCACGGGAAGAGACTCGGCAAAACCGACTTCCTCATTGAATCGCACCGAGGTGGGAAACCCGATCTGCCGCCGTACCAACAGCGGCACCGGACGCGCACCTGTGCTCGGACCCAGTCTCGAAGCTAGTTCCTGCAACATTCGAGGATCCTTGGGCGAACCCGCGGCAAAAAACGCGAAATCAGTGCCGACTGCAACGATCTCATCACCTGCCCGCAGCCCAACTCGTCCCGCGAAACCATCCTCCGCGGACTCCGCAACACAATTCCCTGCAAGCGTCGCGCCAAACCGCTTGGAATTTAGCGTCAACTGCATGTACTGCAAACTCTCGCGCGCACGCAAAATGAGCAGAGAACAGGGCCGCTGATGCTGCAACATATAGGTAACGAGCGCGTCGTCGGGATCTGCGCCCGGCAGAACCGCTACCCGCGAGATCGGCTCCCCGTCCACCGCAATAACCACGTCGCCCTCCTGGAAGGGAAGAGTGCGGTCTACCTCGCCGATGCGGACTACTGGGAAGCGCAGCCAATCTAACTCAAAGCCAAGCGCCCGGCGGAACCGCTCCGAAGCTGGAATGGAGACCTCGGACAAAAACCGCAAATCCGCGCCTCCTTCGCCTAGGTTGGAGCCGTCTGAAACCCACGTGAAGAGGCCGAATGATTCGTAGTCGGCTGGTGCGACAAGGTACAGCATCTGCAACAGATAAGGCGCAACAAAACCCGAAAACGGCAGAGGCTCCTCTACCTCGAGCAGCTCTGGTGAACTGAGCGGCGAAACGGTTGCCATGGTCCCGTTGGAGGCCGCAACACCAGCTTGCTCCTGGGGTCGTCGTCGACCTCTCTCTCGACCACTCGCCGAGGAGTCCTCCCGTCCGGCTGGCAGCTGCCCAAAGAATTGCCGCTCAGCTGACTCACCAGGACTGCTTCCCGACTTTGAGAACAGACGATCGACATTCACGTATCCTCGCGGCGATTGTAGCATGTCTTTCGGCGTGTCTCGTATGGATAGACTTTGCCTGCTACTTCTCCTCCGGTTTGCAGAGGTGCTTCGTGAAGCCGCGCCGGCTCTTCTACTCTTGCGGTTGCCGGTATCGCTGCCGTGCAAAGCAGCAAGCATTTGGTACGTTCCCAGGTCTACTGTCCCCGCACCTCTGCGCGCCGCCCTCGCATCATGATTAGAGACAAACCCAGCCGGCGCAACCCGCAGATTCGGCGTAGGACCTAATGCGAATAAGGGAGACTGAAGCGCATCCACTGACGACGAAGTACGGCCATCTCCTGCCACGCCAGCCATTGTATTTGTTCCTATGCCTGACGGATTAAGCGCCATTCCTGGCGCCCTACTGAAAGCGCTGCCGGCACCGGCTAGAGGATTCATCGCCATTCCTGGCGCCATTCCAAAGAGATTAGGCGCGCCGAAGAGATTCTGCTGCGGCGCAAAGGCATGATCGCGCCGCCGCCTCCGTGAACCTCGGTGATCTCGAACATCCCCTGCTCTTGATTCCCCGTGCTGCACTCGCTTGCCCTCTGGTCTTCTGCGTCCCGAGCTGCTCTTCCGTGCTGGTCCTCCGTAAGCCGGAAGACCACTCGCACTCTGCTTCGAGGGCCCGTAGCCGCTAGCTTCGGTAGCTGAACTCGCAGACGATGAAGCGCTGCTCTTGCTTCTCCCTGCCACCTGCAAGTCCGCTTGTATTTGGCTAAGCTCTCGCAGCGAACGCTGAAGGTCGCGAACCGTTCCCGGCAGCGTCTTCAGCGCCACAACTATTTCCAGCATTTCCCGACTGGGCAAAGCGCGAAAGGCTGGCGCCTGGCTCGATTCTCCGCCTCCACCTCTGTACAGCGTTGACGGCACCTGTAAGTAGCAACAAAAACAGTGTCTGCTGCATCATGCATACGTTTTTAATCTTATCTTCGATTATGCGATTAAATAAACTATGGTATTGTGATTTAATGTTGACAACGAGTGTCAATCGAGCACAAAAACAAAATCACTGTGAAAGAGATGAAAATTATACGTCCGATGAATTATCATCTATTGTCCATCGTTCGACTTATAACAAATTGACCAATCACAAATGACAGTTCCATACTGGAAGCATGTCTTTGGTGGGTGAAGTCGGCTGTTGCCACTGTCCCGGTAAGCGGGACCAGGAATGGGCATCGTGTTGACGCTCCCTCGCTACCCGAATGCCAATATTGGCGATGTCCCGGAGCTCGTCTTTTGAAAACATGGCAAGAAATGCTGGTAAATCTTGTTGCTGGACCTTCGTCTCTTTCCCCCCATTCGCCACGGATTTATCGGCGTCCCCTTTCATCTTTACGTTGGTCTTCTTGCTTTCGTCCTCCCCTTTTGCGGTTCTCAGATTGCTGTCGTTTTCCCCGTTTTCTCTTTGTCTACGATCGCCTCCTTCCGGACCCCCATCGGCCTTCTCGCCGTCGTCCTGAGCGGGCTCTTCCGTATTTTTTGCCTCTTCAGCACCCGTGGCCGTCAATTCCTCGACAAAAATTCGGCGTCCTGTCACGGAGGAACCACCAGCCAAAGGCTTTCTTGTACCTTCTGACTTTTGGGAGTCTTTTTCAGGCGACCCAGTTGCAGCACGTGGTCCGCTGACATTCGGGTTTTTTGTCTCCAGCTTTGCCTCGAGCCTCGCTAATCGTTCGAGAAGGTCGTCCACAGTGCCACCCTTGCGACCCATACGCCGCATTACACTGGAAACTGCGTCAAATTGTTCTCGCTTATCCTGGGTACTTCCACCGCCGCGTCGGGGTGGCAGGAAAGTAGCCAAGTCGTCCAAAAATCTTTCATGAATCGCTGTGCCTCCTCTCGTACCTAGGTGGATGGTGGTGCGTTATCGTTCGCTTGACTGTCATTGTGAGTAGAACTAGAAGTACAACTACGTCCCGCGAGCGCCAGCACCACTTGTCTAATATAAAACCCGTGCTTGTTCTCCTCCTGGTCTTCTAATCCCAGGATCCGCAGTTTCAGTAGTTCTAACGCAGTTCATCTTTAACTTTATAACGCGAAGAAAAATATCTATATTATATACATATACGCATTAAGAAAAAGCAATAAGACGAACTCTTGCTGGTGCTAGCACTTTCAGCGAGTTGTATGTTGTCTCGAGTAACTTAAAGAGCTAGAGCTACTGTTACATGGAGAGCTACTGAGTGGTTGGTATGGATCAAAATACCGTGCCCACCGTAGAGGTGCTTTGCACGGGCTTCCAAGTCGATCTTTTTTTGCGATCCGTATTGATTCAAGGCCCAGCGCCACTCAGCCGCGCCCCAGTCTTCAACTGGTGGTAAGGTCGCGTCACCAGCAGCTTCTTGTTCGTCAGCGGCCATCTTCTCGTCTACTGAAGTTCGCTGTACTAGTAGTGATTCCGTGAAACTAAATAAACTGCATTCTTGGCGGGCACCGAGGATTAATCGTACATCTGACGTCCTCGTTCCTCCTTCACTTCTTCGAAGTAGGTACTCAATCAAACATCATACATGATAAGATTACACCTTGCCTTTGGGCCTCCCGTTTACTCTACTGTGAGTACATTATTCCTTCAGCTGCTGGTTGCGGTGTATTATTAAGTGAATCTTAGGTTCTCAACGATACTCGTTCAAGAAAGGGAACATCATATTCACTTAATAGGAATAAGCAGCAAGCGGATCGGAGGGATAATACTTTGTTGAACTGATCCGCTTTCGTTTTTGACCGAGTGAAGTCTTTTCTGAAGGCAGACTGCACGCTCGCATCTTGTAAATGCTGTTGCAACACCGATTACAAGACAGAGACTCTTCAAGGACCTTTTCTTTTACACCGATAGACGCGAACAAGATCTGATCAACGGCATAAAAAACATGCAATAGGACCGACGTATTTTCACCGTGATATGAAACGGTAACTGGACCACTTGCACATGCCGCTCATTTAATCGCAAGTCTGCTGACTCGGCACGGCAATAGGCATTTTTCGTGATAAACCACACTAGCGTCGACGTTTGTTTTTGTACTGCATCCTAGTACAATAAGTCGTCCTAGAAACATTTTGATGCTGCGACTGCAGAGGATTCAAAGGACGATAGAAGTGATAAACTTCAATGATCACCTGATTCAGTGAAATCATAAGAACAACAATAATTGATGTAACTTCTACCTAGTGGTACTTAGTTGAAATGAACGAATGAGAAATGTTACAAGTACCTACAACAAGGAATTTTTCATGATTTCTTGGGTTGCATGAACATAAGTTGCGACATACATTACACTCTGTTTGTGCACTGGTAATGTAGAAGACTCGACCATACAGCTAGGGGTAGGGCAAGCCGAATCTCAAGGCTCCTCCACTACGCACCCAGCTGATTGATTTTTTTATCTGTGCAAAATCAGGGGGAGTTCATACTCTGTACAGGGGAAACAGTGATATGAGAGTGTGTGAGAGTGCGCAAGTAAATGAAGATGAAGATCTAAATATTCCAATGTCCTTGCATGCGGATGCAGCCGATCTGTACTAGTCTAGCAAAAGCAATCTAGAAAAACACATTTTATAATCAAGTAGATAAATGTGAATGGTATACAAGAAAATTATCATGTTGTGACTTAATATGTTGTGAATGCATGGGTGTGGGTACTATAGGTAATTCGCACAGGTACAACTACCAATAGGATACGCATATGTTTATCTAGCTAATGGGAGATCGAAAAATTAAAGAGGCCCGATGATATGCATATCGATGTGTCCTGTCTAATCGTGATGCAGAAATACAGCTCTGGCGCGTAGTCGTAGCAAAGAAGATAAGACCATACTAACTAGATGAAGAGACCATGCTGCAGAGGCGCAAACATCGTGTTACAACCATCCACTGTATGCAGAATTTGATTTTGGATTTGCGAATGCCAATTCCATGCCGCCCATGTCGCAGACTAAATTGAATCGAAATAGCGAGTACTTAGTTCGCTCTAGAAAAAAACAGTGGCTGGAAACTCCTGCTCGCAGCGACGGCGCAAAAAAATCAGCGATACCCATTATGCATCCTGTATCCACACAGTATCAATCACCACATAAATAGTCAGTGAAAATGCATAGTGGAATCAGTCGTCTATTCCAGCCCACGTCCAAACCTTCCTTGATAGCCTTGGCTTTCTCCCCCGGTTAATCTCAGGAGCACGTGACAGGTGAAGAGGGACATGCTTGGTTGATTCGTCCTTCTCAATCGTTAGCCTAGCCTCTCCACCTCATCGATTATTATCGTCTCAGACCTGTGACCAGAAGTCATCTCCAGCATTGCGTCGCGTTTAGTCACACATGTCATCCTACTCCTAGTACTATCAAGATCTTCGACGTCGTCAGAAGCTGTTGTACTAGTCTACTGGTCGTTCACTTCTTGTTGACCTGTGCTAGAGATGTTGACTCGATGAAGAAAGGTCATCTTCTGCATCCGCTTCGTGAGCCGCAGCACCAAATTCTAGAGCTTGATCGCTAAGCCACTGTTTCGGAAGCTGCCTCGAAGGACGGACTCCGTACTTAGCCAGAATGTCTTGTGGAAAGCCAGACCGTCTTCGCAACAAAATGTTCACTACTCCCCCATCACGCAGGGACTGGTCCGCTCCGAAGATAATCGCATGCAGCGCTGTCTCTCCCTCCGCTCTTTCCAACAATTTGTCGCCAACAACGGAAAGAATGTCGCCAACTTGGAGTCCTCGCGCCACTGCCCAAGGCATTGCTTCAAGTGAGGCAATGCGCATTTCCACGCTGTTGTTGTCCTGTTGTCCCTGCGAATTGTCACGACCCACAGTTTTATTTAGCGGTTGGCTTCATGCTAAATATGTTGAAGAAGCATTTTACTTTGACAGATTCAGTATTTACATAACTTTTTCGATCTACTTACTTGATCTGCATTTTCAGATGAGTAGAATGGAACCTACCCTATTTTTAGAAAATTAATTATGTTAGATGAATTCGCTACTGATATTACATGACATTCAGAAAATGTCACAAAAATAGCATTTTTTGTAGTCCTCAGCTGCCACTTCCAATTCGGATGAATTTCTTACCTGTTGCTATTCTCATCTACGGAAACTACTTCGTCTCTTGTCGTGTTGGTCTTAACTTATCTTCTGCATCTTTTGGTTCCACTTGAAAGCCAGCAAAGGACGAAGACAGTCCAGGTGTGATATCCTGTTCTCCTAGCTCCAGTTGCAAATACTGTGACACCTTCTTGGCACGAAGAAAGAGGAAGGCCGCCGCAGGAGAATCGCCACGACGCTGTTTGCGCTGTAGTTTTTGGACAATCGCGTCGCTGGCGCTCGTCCCTGGCCATGCCGCCACAGTCGTGACTCGGTCTTGCAAGGTCACGCACATCAACAGAAGATCACCGACTGCTACCCCGTTTCTCGAGGCCCGCGACCCGCTAAGCCGCGTCACACTACTGCGCCGCCTGGGTTCAGAACCATTGACTCCTTCTTGATCAACAGGCTGTGGGAAAGAGGCATCGACCAGAACGTCCGTAACCGCCACAGTGGGAAACAAACCTGAGGTCCAATCGAGCCGAAACCCGATCTTTAGAAACAAACGCTACAAAAACCTACTCACTCGTGCGCTCCATCCCTTAGGTCCAAATCGTAATGTTGAGTGCTATGTGTGAGCAATAGGGCAGGGTACACAGTCCTAGGGCTTGTCATGTCAAATTAGGTGGGTTTGAATCTTCACATGGCATGGCTGCATGCATTACGTCATCCGTGGATGACATGGTCCTCTTCAGATTCGTTGTCATGAGCGTTATCCATGACCATGCCTATGCATTCTCATGATGTGAAAAAGAACATCTTTTACTGTGTAATAGCTTGAAACAACATCAACAAGATTCTGAATGTATCATCTATCTTCAAGAACGTCGGCTACAGCTTCAGGATCTTCTTGCTCATGATCATACTTAACAAAGTATGCTATTCTCTGCCAACTAACTACTATGTATAAGTCTAAGTAGATACCTACAATTCATAAGAAAAGTCTCCAAATGCGTTCTTCGGGTGATAGAGTTTGGTCCATCAGTGTTTCCGCTTCAATGCTTGCCTGCGCCCATCCACACAATCCCGCAGCAGGTATGTCTCGGGCATACGCGAGATACTGGATGCAATATGGTCTCAGTGGCATGGGCGGCTTTCTAGGAGAAGCTCCTGATGCCCCACTTGAGTTTTCTTCGGGCAATAGCGATCCGGGCAGAACTACAGATGACCTTGCGACTACGGGGTTAGAGCTAGCGCATTCGCATAATCCCTAGAACAACAAGCATCCTCTTTGGCCCTTTTTCTTGTAAGCAAAAAAGAAGGCAAGGATACTTTGTAAGTTTAGGAAGATGTCTTTGACGTAGCCTTAATAGAACCCCGATGCTGGAAGCTGACGGCGCTTGGGGCTGCGACCACATCTGCTGTTGAGCGACCATGTTCAAGAGTGGACTCGACTATGCTGGTGGCGCAGTTACCTTGTATCGACGTTGTCACTGATAGCGGTGCGGCCCCGTCTGAAGAAACCGAGGCCTTCACCGCTCCATCGTTTGATGGTTCCTCGATCGACAATGAGCTCATCTCATTGGCATCTAGAGCTTGCTGTGATGCGGCCACCGCTACCGTTACAGGCCCGCCACCTGAGCCTGCGTTTAATGCTGGAGCTGACGTTGGTAACGTTACTAATGAATGCTGATGCTCCGAGGATCCTGCTTTTGCAGAATTCGTATTCGCTAGGGCTGGCAGCCCTATTCCTTCTGGCTTTTTCACGGGAAGCGGACCAAAATCAAGGCCAGCACTCGAGGACGAGACATCATCTTCCTCGCCGGCCGAATCTGCTTCGTCTTTCAATATTTTTTCTACATCGATGCCACGCGTTACATCTTTGTCTTTCAACCCTAAATCGCTCGCAAGTAAGCTTTGCAAAAACGCAGCCCCACGTCCGCCCTCGTGACCCGCGTCCTCGCCCTCATCCTCACCTCCTTCCACCTCCTGGTCGGGCATTGCCGCCTCACCCTCAGCCAGCGGGCCCCGCAATCTCGTCCCTGACGAATATGAGGAACTCCCCCCAAGAGTATGCCCCCGCCACTTCGCCGGCAACCCGCGCCTCACATCTGGCGCCTCCTGCAGCATCTGCACTGGGAAATCAGCTGTCGGGCGGCCGAAGAGGAAACTCGCGCGCTTGCCTTGTCGCAGAAAAATGTCTTCGATATCAGTGAAAGTGCTGAATTTTTCTAGCAACATGTCGCCGACCACCAGGAGGCGGTCTCCCACATGGAGCCCACGGCGGGCTGCCCACCCCTCCGGATCAACCGATAGGAGCTTTCCGAATTCGGCGCGGTGCTGCTGCCCCGTTAGCGAATGGTCCGAAGATGATTCTACTAGCTCGCGCCCGGGTGCGCCGCTACCACCGATCTGTGCGCCCAGAGCGTACTCAAGACGGTTGGATCCAGGTGGCGCTGCAGCTATCATTTTCTTGGACTCGTCGCCGTCCGCGTCTCCTGCCTCTGCATCAAATTCCAATTGCACAAAGCGAGCGGCGCGCACGTGGCGCATGAACATGAAAGCCGCTATTGGCTTGTCGTTGCGCGCGTACTTCCGCTTCAGCTTGCGGATAATCGCGTCGCTGGGCTCCGCGCCCTCCCACTGCGCCACGCTGGAGACTCGGTCCTTCGTCGTCACACAGCTCAGGAGAATGTCGCCAACAGAAACTCCGTTCCGTGCGGCACGCGAGGGCGCGAGCGGCAGTGGCATGTGCGTATGCGGATCGAGTCCTGGTGATTTTCGCGAATGGTCGACTTCGGTCACTCGTACTGTCGGGAACGCGGGACCCCAGTCCAGGCGGATACCAAAAAGTTGCCATATCTGTTCCTCCGAGGACAGAACTACATCGTTCAAGATTCTCTCATCCAAGGACATCTGGGCCCAACCCACGATCCCAAATTGCGCCACATTCTTCGATAGGGCGATCGACTGGAGACAGTACGGCCGATTGCTGCCACCGGCGGCCGTGGAGCTCCTCCTTCTACTTGCGAGGCCCTTCGAATGAGAAGTTCGAGCTTCATCTGCGTGCGGTGCTGGATCACCTCCAGTTGCAGCAGCGTCGTCGACGTCCTCGTCTTCTTCGTCGAAATGGTTTATTGTTTGCCTCTGTTGCGCATTCCGTTTCGCAAGCTCGATGGCCGGATCTTCTTCGCCGGTTGATTTCAACCCTTGCTCAGTACGGAGGCGACTTCGCTCCAGTGATTCTGCTGTGCTCACATCGATGCGCACACCGCGCGGACCACCCTGCTGAGCCTGCTCTTCCTTGCCTGCCGCGCCGCGTGTTTCAGTGTCCGCGCGCCCGTCTTCCTTCGTTCGCACGCCGCGAGAGGGTGGCGCGGAAGACACAGCATGGTCTGGCGGATCGTCGCCCCTCTGCTGTAGCACTTTTTGACCCTCAACATCTCCCTGTGGGGGGCTCACCACTTCTTTCGCCACAGGTTGTGTGCTATGATCTTCATTCGCGTTAGTTATTTGGTCGTCCGAGTCACTCTTCGGGACAAGTGCCAAGCCTTCTTTATCAGCTTTTGCTACATCATTTGCGCGGGACGGTGGACTTGGCTCAGCCACAGGCTTAGGCGGGGACCGTGGAGTCTCGTCAACGGCAACAGATTGTCGCAATGTTGCTGCAGGAAAGCCTTCCGATTGCCTCGCTTTAGACGTCCTCGATTCCTGCTGTGGCCTTCCTGCGGTGTATGAACGCGACTGCGCAGATTTTTGTTCCGCAGAGAGGCGCGTCGTAGGAGAAGCTGCTGTCACAGACGATCGCCGCAGCAGTGAGCCAGGCAAAGACTTACGAACCCCACCTGCGGATGTACTTGGACCTGCTTGTTGCGATTGTGAACGTCGACCAACCGGGGACGGCGCTTCCGACGTTGCCGATGGACGCCTGTCGCGTCCAAGTGCACTGCGC